ACAGATGCACCCCTATGTTTATCGCAGCACTATTTACAATAGCCAAGAAATGGAAGCACCCTAAGTGTCCATCAGTAGATGAATGGATAAAGAAGATGTGGTACATATACACAATGGAATATTATTCAGCCATAAGAAGAAAACAAACCCTACCATTTGCAGCAACATGGATGGAGCTAGAGGGTATTATGCTCAGTGAAATAAGCCAGGTGGAGAAAGACAAGTACCAAATGATTTCACTCATCTGTGAAGCGTAAGAACAAAGCAAAATCTGAAGGAACAAAACAGCAGCAGACTCACAGAACCCAAGAAAGGACTAACAGTTACCAAAGGGAAAGGGACTGGGGAGGATGGGTGGGAAGGGAGGGACAAGGGTGGGGGGGAAGAAAGGGACCTTAAGATTAGCATGTATAATGAGAGGGGGGCACGGGGAGGGCTGTGCAACACAGAGAAGACAAGTAGTGACTCTACAGCATCATCTTACCATGCTTCTGGACAGAGACTGTAATGGGGTTTGTGGGGGGGACTTGGTGATGGAGGGAGTCTAGTAAACATAATGTTCCTCATGTAATTGTAGATTGATGATACCAAAATAAAAAATTTAAATTAAAAAAAAGTCATGAGTATGAAGACATTATTTCCATCAGATCCTCAAACCGCTTGAAAGATGGAGGAGGATGGGCCGGCGGGGGAGCCCATGTCCCACCCTAGGGTGGGTGGTGCCTCTTGTTCCTACCTGCTCATGGTTCCGCCCGTGTGAGGCGGGAGGGGAGCTGGGATAGATGCTGGATCTGCAGCCAGAGTCTTACGGCTATTCCACACCTCCCTCAGTAAGGTCCACACGTCACACGGACCTTCTCAGGACCCATTAATACTCTAGGGTTCCTGGGAGATTGGGCCTTAGACCCGGGATGTGTAAGACCACAGAGAGACCCCACTGCTCAGACTGCACGTGTGACAGGAGGACCGGCCACAGGTGACGCCAGTAGGGGCAGATTGAGGCCACGTGGGTCGGAGCTGACCCTTTGTTCCCCCCCGTGGGCTGGGGCCCATGAGGGGCCCTGGAATAGCAGCTCCAGTTCTTGGGCCACAGACCCAGTATAAGAGATGTGCTACACAGGAATGAAAGAATTACAGGACCGGATTCATGTTCCTGTGTGCAGTGCAGCGATATTTACTGGTTTCCTGTCTGATTTCAAACAAACTACTGGTTGCCCCTCACTAACTTGATCCCTCACCCCCAAAGCAGACATCTATGCCAGGCCTCACCTCTCCATCTTACAGACGAGAAAATCAGACCCGAGAGGGAGCCTTTGTCCACACAGTTGGGTGGCCATGCTGGGACTAGGATCTGGCCCCACCGCCCTGCAGGACACTCAGGTGTCTCCCTGATCCCACCTCCCATTTGGGAGCTTCCTCTGTCAGGCTTGGCTCAGGAGAGAATGAGCTTTATTTTTCTGGCCTCTCTGCCCAAGATGATATGACGATTGTTCTCTGGGGAGCAGTGTCCTGGGGACTGCCAGAGTTGGGTGCTGCGGGGAGGGTGGCAGGGTGCCCATCACAGCCAGCAGCTAATGAATACCCGGAGGAACTGGGAGGGGGAGGCCTTTGGCCTCCAGCAATACCTGTGACCACACTCTAGAGAGCAACTAAAGAGGACCTGGTTTTGTTTTCTATTTTTTTCAGGGGGTGAGGCTAGATAAGATAGATGCCAGGAGGGAGAGGTTTTTATTGAGTGCATTTAAGGAGTCTGCACAGAGTGGGAATGCATTGGCATCAGTGTTAGCATTGCTCTGATAACAAGAGCAGCTGACACTCCTATGAAAGACAGATTGTTTGTAAAGCCTGGACTACCCAGGGCGCCTGTTTCCCTGTTGAGGTACCGGCTCTTGCTTGGGTGCCAGCAGGCCAGCCCAGAGCCAGCAGCCTCCCTTTGGTGGTGCTCCTGAGTGACAGGAGGTCTTTCCAGGGGACTAGTGTGAACTGGTGGACATAGACCTAGATACAGGGCCAGGGTGAGTGTCCCAGGGCCCACCTCCTGGAGAGGGTGAGGGATGGCCGCCTGCATTCCCAGCCTGGGCCTACCTCTGGTCCTCCAATGCTTCTCTGCGCACACCCTCCTGAGGGCTTCTGGGACGGTGAGAAGGTAGTCCCGGGGCAGAAACCAGGGCCTTTAGTTTTCTGTTCTTTGCACAAAGGAAAGTTTGTTAGTTCCTAATCCTCAAGTCCAAGGGGCCGGCAATTGTTTTTTTCTGAAGAGACAAGACTGACACTAGCTTGAATTCTTTAGAAGAGGCTGCTTGGTGAACAGGACATGAGTACATGGGGAAAGCATCCCGGGGAGCCGAGAGCCCATGTGCTGGGGGCGCCATACCAAGGCCATACGGCCAGAGAACCGAGACCCCCATGCCCGCCAGGTGAAGGGTACCTTGGGAGCTGTGGCTTCCTGGGCCTGGAGGTTCTCGACGCCCCCCTGTGTGGCGCATCGTGTGCAGCAGGGAGTGTAGTGTCTGCCCCCCAGGGTTGCCTGCAGACCAAATGAGGCAAGTTCCTGAAAGGAGCCTGATGCAGAAAGCAGGTGCTCTTTCCCCCAGAGAACTGTGGGCACATCCCAGCAGGCCTGCACTCAGCATCTCAGCTGGGGTCTTGGGGGCCAGAGGAGACCCAGCCAGAGCCCCGTCCCGGTGATGAAGTGCCATCACCCAGGCCCTGGGCTGCAGAGCGGACGGGTGCTGATTGCCCAGGGGTGCCTCTGGTTTAGGGATGTGCCCCAGCATGTGGGGACCAGGATGGAACCGATAAAAAGTCGGTGACCTAGAACTCTGTGTATCCTTTTAACCAGTTAGCCAGCCTTGATCAGTTAATCATTAAAGCAAGGTCCACACCCCACTGCTAGTCAGGTTAATGGTGCTTGTCTTTGACGGTGGGCAGGAGTGGTGAATGTGGACAGCTTGGGGGAGTAAATCTTGCTAGAATGATGCTTACAGGCTTCCCCTTCACACACGTTTGATGAAAACATAATTAACAACCACGAGTGAACCCCAGTATCAGCTGTGACGATGTGTCTGTGTTGGTTCCTGATCATTTGTAAAGGTCCCACTCCGGTGGGAGATGTTGACAGTGGGGGAGGCTGTGCGTGTGGTGGGGGCAGGTGGTTATATGTGCAGTCTCTATACCTGCCTCTCAGTTATGCTGTGAACCCTAACTCTAAAAAAATAAAGTATAAAAAAATATGCAGAGACTTGGACATCAGTCACCTTAGGTTTAGCAATTTTATTAGAAAGTGGTAAGATTTACTCTGAATGTTAGGTTTGAAATGGTGATTTTATGGCATCGTGGCTAACACTGTAGTGGGGAGCACGGGCTGCTTAGGGGCACCTGGGGTCTCTGCCTGTGGGGGCTGGCCCTGCCCCATGAGGTCGGGCTGCTTATCTTTCTGTGGAAGGAGGAGGGCCAGTGCCTCACAGCGGCTCCCAGGCTGCTTCCAACCCCCACGTCACTGTTTGCTTTCTGCAGAGCGTCCTGGCCCACACAGCCAAGAAGACAAGGCCTCCCGGAGGGACCCGCAGACCGACGGCGACGACACGCTGGCCGCCAGACCCCTCCACCTTCCCCTCCTCCCTGCCCGCTGCGCCTGGAGGATGAGCCCAGCTTTCAGGGCCATGGACATGGAGCCCCACACCAAGGGCATCCTGCTGGAGCCCTTTGTCCACCAGGTCGGGGGGCACTCTTGCGTGCTCCGCTTCAATGAGACAACCCTGTGCAAGCCCCTGGTCCCAAGGGAGCACCAGTTCTACGAGACCCTCCCAGCCGAGATGCGCAAGTTCACCCCCCGGTACAAAGGTGAGCCCCTGCTGCCTTAGGGGTCGCCTGCACCTGGCAGGGCGCAGCCATGCTGCTGCACAGCTGCGGGATGCAGAGCAGCTCTCCCAGGAGCTCTCCCCCTCCCCGTCACTGTGGTCCCCTCCTCCTCTTGGCCTCAAACCCTCAGTTTTCAAGGCCTGGTAAGATGGCTCCATTCTGTTTTGTATTGTGGTTTTGTTTCAGGTTTATTTTTGGTGGAAATGTAGTTGTGTTTTATGTCCAGGTGTCTTGATCACAGTAACCCATAGTCCCCCACGGGGAGACAGAGGGGAAGACTTTGGGAGGATTTTGCCCAGGTACTTGCCGCCGGCTTGTGTCCTCCAGGAAACCAGAGCCTGGTTGCTAGGTAGGCTGCAGGAGGCTCGGGGCAGATGGCGTGCAGGGGCGGGGGGCCTGTGCTGTTCCAGGAGGTCCTGAAGCTGCTGCGACAGCAGCCCTTTGAGTCCCATGTAGTGACTCTTCTTTTTTTTTTAGTGCATTTTGGGGGCATCAGCCGTCACCACCAGCATGGTATGTTCTTTCCTGGGGAGGGGGTACTTTGTAAACGAAAGAAGAATCCATTAAAGAAGTGAATTTTAAATTTGCATTGCCTGGTTATACAAAGGACTGTTGAACAACTTAGGTTCTCCTGGGGCTGTTGAAACATGCTCTCTGAAGACAGATGCACCCGGCTCCTCTCCGCTCTGATGTGCATGTTGTGGTGGGGGCTGGGGGGTTGGGGCCCTCACTTGGTCCTTCTCTGTTGTTTTTTCCAGGACAAAGCCAAAGGCCCCTTGCTAGCTGGCCGCCCCCTGCCCCCTTTTTCCCCCTGGTTGTTTCCCCGTGACCACAGGGAAATGTGGTCCCCTGATTCCCCAGCCCAGCTCCTCTGCGCCCAGAGCTTGGGACCGCCCCAGAAGTGTCATCTCTCTGAGCATGCCCTCCCCTGCCGTGAGTGAGCATGCACGCAGGCGGGCAGCAAGGACTGAGCCAGATTGAGGGGCCCTGGGCCAGAGGGTCCCAGGAGTCAGGCGCTCATCGGCACCTGCTGAGACGCGCCCACATGACAGCCCCCTCCTCAAGGACTGTCCGCCCACACGCGGCCACCGCGCCCTGTGCTCCCAGCCCGACCCTATGTGCCGTGTTCGTTTTGTTCTGTGACATGAGACTGCAAAGACCAATAAAGTAACATTGGAGAAGGTCAGAGGCTTGGGCACCCCCAGCAGGGTGCTGCAGGTGCCCTGGCTAGGGTGTCTGCTGAGCTGTGTGTTTGCTGCCTCACCTTGTCGGCCCCCCCACCCCCACCCTCCATGCTGCTCACCCCACAGGGACCTGTGCTCAGGCTCTGCTCTCAAGCACTCTAGGCCATGGGGGTTTGTTCAGGGCAACAGAGAGTAAGATACAAAGAGCAAATGTTTCCACATCTCCCCTGGGATTAGAAGAGCCACAGAAAAATTAATAAACATTTTCAATGATGGAAAAACGTGTCTTGTAGTTCTTTGGCCCTTGCCTGGTTAAGTGCATCAGAGGGGAAGCCTTGGCCACATTTGCTCCCTGACTGCTTGTCTTGTATGGTGTCATCTTTTCTAGCTGTTTTGCTATTTGGTAGGTTTGCAGATGAGTTTGGGCCTCTGGCAACATAGAGACTAAGGAACAGGGTAAGAGCAAAACACATGTTACAGCCCTGCCATTTAGGACACGTCTCCTGGGGGTTAAACGTGCTGTGCCCCTCGCCCCCTTCCAGGTGTGGTGTCTGTGTGCTTCGAAGAAGATGAAGACAGGAACTTATGTTTGATAGCATATCCGTTAAAAGGGGATCATGGAACTGTGGACAGTGTTGACAATTCAGACTGTGAACCAAAAAGCAAGCTGCTGAGGCGGACAAACAAAAAGCACCACAGCCTGGAACCAGAAAAGCCCCCCAAGGACTGGGTCCGACAGCACCGGAAAGAGGAGAAGGTGAAGAGGTGGGTGCAAACGGGAACCTGGACCCCATGGGAGGGGTAGTGTCCGGCAGTGGGTCACAGCCCAGCCCTGGAGCCAGGGACTCGCCTGGGAGGCTCCCCATAGCATGCCCGGCTTCTCCTCATTTACCTCTGTTTAGGTCATGTCATTTGGGGCAAAGGGCTGCAGTGGCAGCTGTAAAGACTTTCACTCGCTCACTCCTCCTGCAGCCTGCCTGTGGCAGGCCCCGTGCCGCCTCCAGGGCTCTGGCCGTGCCCAAGGCGGGAGCCAGCCCGTCACCCCAAGACGCTCCCTGTAGTGGGAGACGGGCGGTCAGTGGGCGTCCCCGGAGCTCAGTGCTCCGCCTCGGCAGAGCTTGTAAAACTAGTCATCACGTCCGTGAGTTGAAGTCCATATAATGCAGCTTAAGTAGGTTGACTCACTCCCAAGAAATTTCATTTCAGGCTTTCCGAGTGTCTAGTGTTTGGGGTCAGGAGCCCTGGTGTGCCCAAGGCGGGGGTGGAGGGGCACCACCACAGGGAAGAGGGCAGTGCAGGCTGCTCTGGATGCAGGTGCGGCGACAGCCTGTTGTGTCTCGGTTTGCCCAACTGTAGAAACAGCGAGCTGGCCCCTTAATTGTGTTTCAGATAAATTTCTTGAGGTGTAGTAAACATACAATGATATGTACCCATATGAAGTGTTTCAAGTGTACATGGAAATACATGGAAACCACCGCCACATCAAGATAGCCAAACTTCCCATTGCTCCAGAAAGCTGGTTTGGGCCTCTTTGCCCTGAATTTTGGTCAGCCATTGTCATTTGTCGGCTCCTTGTCTCTCTGTAGCCATAAGTTAGAAGAGGAATTTGAATGGTTAAAGAAATCTGAAGTCTTGTACTACAGTGTGGAGAAAAAGGGGAGTGTGAGTTCCCAGCTCAAACACTCTAACCCTTGGAGCCTGAAGTGTCAGCAGCAGCAGCTACAGAGGATGAAGGACAGCGCCAAGCACCGCAGCCAGCACAGTATCCTTTATCCCCGGGATACCCGCCTGGGCAGCACGGGGGGTAAGTGAGGAGACCCGTGGGCCTCGGGGAGGGTGGCTGCGCCATGATACCCGTGTGACGACTGGGGGCAAGTACCACTTCCTGCAGGGCCGAGGGCTCGTCTGGGAGGACAGGTGGGGAGGGCGTTGATGGGTCCCTGGGGGCAAGGGGCACCTTGTGGAGGGACCAACCTACATCAAGGGAGTTTAGCCTAGAGTGCAAGGGGTTGGTTCATGTCCGCAGATTCCAGCAGAGGTCCCCAGATAGTGTTTGCCTGCCAAGCGCAGGGCTGCCTTTAAGCCCTGGGTCACCGTCTTGGCACAGAAGAGAGCACAGGGTCCTTTCCCCTTTCTTTCCCAGTAGAGCTATACTTCATTGATCTCTCTTTAAATTTTTTCACTATCTCTTACGGGGGACAGTTTGTCAGAATTGAGCATATTGTATTTGTTTTCAACTTTTTATTAGAGAAAATTTAAACATGCTAAAAGTGGAATAATACTTTGATGCTGTAAGTAGCAGTCACCCAGACTCGGCAGTTAACCCATCGTGTCATTCCCGTGTCAGGACTGTCTGTGGACAGCCCACAGCCAGCCGAGCTCTTCCTGAAGCAAGTCCCCTGTGTCACTGCATCTTTACACACCTCAGCAGGTAGCTCTAAAAGATAAGGAGACTTTAAAACATCAATATCATTATTACACCTTAGAAAGTGGATAATTCCTTATGTGATCAAATACATAGTTGTGCAAGTTAACTGATTGTCTCATAAGCGTTTTTATTGCCTGTTGGGGGATCCAAGTGTTTCTCCAGCTGCATTTAGTTGAAATGAATGTTTAAGTCTTATTAAATACTTTTCTATTTTCTCTTCTTGGAAATTTCCTGTCAAAGAAACTGTTCTTGAAGTCTCCCCCCTCTGATCACATCTCTGTGCGGTCCTTTACATGCCACTCTTCCCCTGTGTTTCCATCAAGGTGATCGGCTAATCTACAGGCATGGTCACCTTCGGGATCTGATATCCAGTGGGCAGGGGCAGGCGCCCCTCGGAGATGGCATCAAACATGTCCCTCAGGGACCCACATGCAGGCATCTCTCCTGTGTTGCCATTGCTATGAGTCTGCTTTTCACTGGGTGTTTTTCTGTCATTCCTCCTTCATTTGTTAGCTGAACTTTGATTCTTCAACTATGTGCTTAATCCTGAGGTATCGTTTATGTAGGAAAGGTAAATCAAATGTTTATTTTCTTTTCCTTATTAGATATTTGGAATAATGGGTGGTTTTCTTATCAGCCAACAGTGACCACTGAGTTTTCAGCATCATTGTTGATTCAGTCCTTTGTTGTCATCTTCACTGAGGCCCAAATTGTCACGTTTGGCCAGGGGGGCCTTTTCGAATAGGCGTCTGCCTGTGACAGTTCTCTTACCCTCTGATGTGAAGGGAAGGCCTGGGGTCATGGATGTTCCCCCCCAGATGTGAAATCAGCCATTTCTCTCAGGCAGGAGTTGCAAACCTTTGCAGTAGAGGTCCAGAGAGTAGACACAGGCTTTGCAGCCGTGAGTTTCTTGTCACAACACTGCTGTTGGAGCATGAAAGTAATGTGAACGACTGAGCGAGGCAGTGTGCAGATCAAACTGGCCACCGAGACTTGGATTTCATTTAATGTTCACGTGTTGTGAAGTATTACGTATACTTCCTGACATCTTAAAAAATACCAGCACCATTCCAAGCTAAGAGGTCGTACGACCATAATCAGGGGCCGTAGTTCACTTCCTGCTCTAAGAGCACTGGTCTGGGCTCTCGGGAACCCACATCTGATCGCCATCTAGGCCTTTTCCAGCCCACAACTGGTAAATACACATTCGTTTTAAAGGGAAAACTTCATGAGTTCATGCTGCTATTTTCAGGTAATATTTAAGGCTACCGGTACTGAACTTGATGATTGGTTGCGATTTAGTTTGGTGTTGGACCTTTCCCATTCCTTCCTCGGCTCCGGTGGGGGTGGGGGGTGGGGGCGGCGTGTCTCTCTCTCTCTCTCCCAGGCTGAGGGAGCCTGGGCTGGTTCCCAGTGAGAACTGACCGTGCCTTTTGGCCCACTAGTTAGCCCTGGGCTCCCTGCATGGGAGATATCAGGACTGGTGGGGCTCCCTGGGGCCTTGTAAGCAAGCACTGTGGCCAGGAGCACTGGGGTCCCGTGCAGCACACCTTCTCTTCAGAGTAAGGATTGTCCTTAACCACTCAGAATTTATCCTACTGGAGAACTTAACTTCCCGCTACAAGGTGCCTTGTGTCCTGGACCTCAAGATGGGCACGCGCCAGCATGGTGATGATGCTTCAGAGGAGAAGGCGGCCAACCAGATCCGCAAATGCCAGCAGAGCACATCTGCAGTCCTTGGGGTCCGTGTGTGCGGCATGCAGGTGAGGGGCTCATCTAAGATTTCTAGCTTTGATTGAGTCTTTTGCTTTCTAGTTGGAAAAGAAAGCATGTCTGGCTGGGTGATCCCCTCTGGGACTGAGTCCAGAGTCTGTGGACCGTGGGAAGAAGGCAGGAGGGCTAGGCCCTCTCCACTGACCCAGACACTGGTCAGGGTGTCAATCGAGAGGACACCACATCCTGTGTGACCGGTGTGCTTGACAGGGAAGATCTGACCCAGGGCCATCATTGCTGCCTTTCCCCAGGCCAGGCTCTGAGATGGCTGTCGGCTCACCTGCCCGTCTCCCTCCCACAGGTGTACCAGGCAGGCAGCGGGCAGCTCATGTTCATGAACAAGTACCACGGACGGAAGCTGTCGGTGCAGGGCTTCAAAGAGGCCCTCTTCCAGTTCTTCCACAATGGGCGGCACCTGCGCCGTGAACTCCTGGGCCCTGTGCTGAAGAAGCTGGCTGAGCTCAAGACCATTTTGGAGAGACAGGAGTCCTACCGCTTCTACTCAAGCTCCTTGCTGGTCATCTATGATGGCAAGGAGTGGCCTGAGGTGGCCCTGGACTCCGATGCTGAGGACTTGGAGGACCTGTCAGAGGAATCGGCTGACGAGTTGGCTGGTGCCTATGCCTACAAGCCTGTGGGCGCCAGCTCAGTGGACGTGCGTATGATTGACTTTGCGCACACCACCTGCAGGCTGTATGGCGAGGACAGTGTGGTACATGAAGGCCAGGATGCTGGCTATATTTTTGGGCTCCAGAGCCTGATAGACATTGTCACAGAGATAAGTGAGGAAGGTGGGGAGTGAGCTTGCTGGCTGCACCAGCACCTGAGGGACTCTTTGTGTACCAGGCACAGCTGTGCTGCGTCGGGGAGGCCAGTAGGGCCAGGGCTTGGCCCCTGCAGCCTGGAGCTGATGTGCAGAGGCCTCTGGGAGTCCTAGCCTGAGCCAGCCCCAACCATGCTCGGAGTCTTTATTTATTTTAACTATTTCTCCAACATTCCACATTTGAAGCAGGTACCTCTTTTCTCCCTGACTGTAAATGTTCTAATACAGATCTTTTTGTTAATTGTACACAGCACTGCTGTCATTCTTGTCCAAACCCTCAGAAGCCTCATGCATGCTGTCCCAGCAATAATATCCTTGCCACCCCCATGGATCCTAAAGTCCCCACAGCCTCGTCCTGGTCCCCAGTCCCCTAACCTAGCACCCTGAGGTTACCCAAAAAGGACTTCCACACACACCTCAGCCGGGTCCCTCTGCAGTCCTGGCTGGCCTAGTGCCCCAGCACCCACTATGCACAAGACTGCAGTGAACTCCACACAGGATCCACAGAGTGGCTGCCCTCATGCCTCTCAGGCAGCCAACTGGGCACTGATGTCCCGTGCTGGAGCCAATACTGGGGTGTCGAGCTGTCAGTGGCTGTGGATCAATCCTATGATAAAGGGCCCCAGCAGGCAGGAGTCTCAACAAGAGGGGGTGTACTGGGTAGGCTGGGCCTCAGAGCCACGCCACCTGCCATCGCTGCTACCTAGCCCTGGGCCTGTGGCATGTAGCCAGTCTCCTTTCTGGCACTCGAGCCTAGGGCAGCCCTGAGGGAGGGGGCTAGAGGGTTTCTGGGACGAGGAAGTACGGCAGGCCTTGGCAGGGTGGAAGGCAAGGTCCACAGTTCTAGCAACCCCTCCCTCTCCTGAGCCTCCAGGCACCCCTCTCTTGGGCCCACCATGCGTGTGTCCAGTATGTCCACAGGCCACCTGCAGGCACTGGCCTGGTTGTGCCCACGCACCCTGCTCCCGGGGGCCCAGGCCTCCAGGGGGGAAGGTGGCTGGACCAGCCCCTCCTGGGGCTTCAGCTGGTGCGGGCTGCCTGGAATGTGCACAGAGTGGACTCTGCCAGCCTGCTGTGCTCTCAGAACGGCGCGTCAGAGACGGGGGATTGAAGTCTTAATTCCTGAAGGATAGTGGCGCACCGAGTGCGAGCAATGGGGGCGAGAGCGCTGACGCGCAAAGTCCCTCCCCGGAGCCCTGGAAAGGGGACATGACAGCCCCTCCTCGCTCTTGCTCGCCGTTGCCCACCCTGGCCCCCGAGGAGACCCGGCCTCGTGGCGCCCCTACCGTGGGCCCTGTCCCTGCATCGCCGTCCTTGCTTGGAAGTCAGGACACCCACCCTTGCAGGTGCGGAGCGCTCAGGAGCCGCCACGGCATTCGAGCCGCGCCGCCTGGGCCACCAGAGGGCGCTGCGCCCACGTGCCGGAGCGGCGGCGGGGGCGAGCGTGCGCCTCGTGCGTCGGGGGCGGGCCTAAGGGCTGGGCTGCGGGCTCCAGGGCGGTTCGGGGGCGAGGCTGCGGACGCCGTCGTGCGTCGGGGCGGGGCAAGGGCGGGGCTTCGGCGCTGTCGTGCGTCGGCACCGGCGCTCGCCCACCCGACCTGCATCCCCTCGCCCGCTTCTGCCCGCGGCCCGCAGCCCCATGTACCGCGCGCTATACGCCTTCCGCTCGGCGGAGCCCAACGCGCTGGCGTTCGCTGCGGGCGAGACCTTCCTGGTACTGGAGCGCAGCAGCGCGCACTGGTGGCTGGCGGCGCGGGCACAGAGCGGTGAGACCGGCTACGTGCCACCCGCCTACCTGCGCCGCCTGCAGGTGAGAGCCCCCGGGCTCCCGCTCCCCGGCCTCTCCCCGCTCCCCGGAGCCTCAGGACCTGACCCCCGACTCCCGGCCCCCGGGAATCGCAGGAACCGCGAGTTAACGTTTCTCGGCCCTCCGGGCCCGCAGGATCCTCAAGTCCCCGCTCCCCGCCTTCTGAGCAGTAGGACGTTCGGGTGCCCCAGAGCCGCAGGATCCCCGAATCCCAGGCCCCTTAGAACTGCAGGACCCCCGGGTCCCCAGCCCCCAGGTTCTCCAAAGCTGTAGGATAGCAAGGGACCTAGAAGACCGGAACTCCCAGCTTCAGGGCCCCCAGACCCACCAGCAGCCTGACACATACCCAAGCTCTTCTTAAGACCCCCCCTCCCAACCTTCGAGGCAGAGAGCCTAACCCCTGCTGACACTCGCCCTTCCCCAGCCTCAGGCCGTGACTTCTCCCACTAACTTCCTCTGAAAGTGAGGGAGCCCCCTCTCTCCTTGTCCCTAGCCTGGAGTGGGGACTGCTCCATTGTGAGGAAGTGAGGCATCCCTGTGGCTTCCCGTGGTCTGACTGTGGCCCCAGTTCCTGTTTCCTCAGGAGGCCTGCTGTGGGGCAGGGGTGCAGTGTCCCGACCACGGGGAAGGAGGGTCCAGAGCCTCCCGGCCTGGCCTGTACCCAACACCCCCACCCCAGGCCCAGCCCAGCTCAGGACAGAAGGAACGGGATTAACAGGAGGTGTCATCCGGTCTCACCCGCACCGTCCGCCTGGTCCCACCTGGGAGACCCCCGGGCTGCTGAGGCTGCAGAGGCCTCACGAGCCCTGGCCTCTCCGGAGCCAGGGGTGTGCTGGATCCGCGGAGGAATCCCTCTTCTTCCCCGGGGGCCTGTGCATCCCCCTGCCCGGGCGGGGCCTGTGGGGCTGGTGTCTGCAGGGCAGCGAGGCTTCTACCTTCTCCGGTCCTGCCTTCTTCCCGCATGTCCCCCCCTGTCTCGGGTCCCTTGACTGTCCGGGCTCTGTGTCATCCTCACCCCACCCATGTGTGTCTTCTCCTCCCACTCCGTTGCCTTCTTTTCCCGGCTCTCGATTTCTTTTTGTTGTCTCTCTCTCTCCCTGTCTTTCTCACGTTCTGTGCGTATGTGCTTTTCTCTTTCTGTCTGCTGGAGTGACATCACCTCAGTTCTGGGACTCTGATGTAGCCCAGACCTCATGTGCCAGAGACAAGGGAGGCGCAGGGGTGGCTGGTCCCACAACTGCCAGAAGCCAGGCTGGGTGGAGTGGACCCCTGAGGCGCTGAGAATGACAGCACAGAGGCCCAGTCCTCTCTGCCACACACACAACTGCTTCCCAGGGCAGGTCTGGAAGATTCTTGGGACGGCTCCGGAAGATGAGGGCTGGTGGCAGGGTGGGAGAGACCACACTGGCCCGTCCTCAGGCACGAGGGCCACAGCAGGCTGCACACACAGGGCCATTCTGGACTGTGACCTTGGTTTTGTGGAGCGTCAGAAGACCCAGAGTGGCTTGTTGAGGGTTCCAGACACGAGAGGCTCCCTGCTGGGCTGTCGGCACATCAGAGACAGACTCGGTGTGCACTCCTGGCCTCAAGCAGTGTTTGTGCTCCGGACCTCTGGCTTGCAGAAGCATCTTAGCTAGAGGTGAGGTCCTCAGCGGGACCCCAGTATGTAACGCAGCAGTGTGGGGGCGCCCCAGGCCCCAGCCTCCTGAGCGCACAGTCTGAGAACCCCATTTCACATTCTAGGATAGCTGTCTGTGTCCATGTCTGACACTCCAGGCTGCAGCTGTGGTCCTGACGACCCTGGGCTCCATGCCAGGCTAGCTCTGGGCTCAGTACGCTCCCTTGACCCCAGGCCTAACTGCCCACCCCTTTCCCCCACAGGGCCCGGAACAGGATGTCCTCCAAGCCATTGACCGGGCCATTGAGGCTGTGCACAACACAGCCATGCGGGATGGGGGCAGATACAGCCTGGAGCAGCGCGGAGTCCTCCAGTGAGCATGGGGCTGGGGAGGGGCCGGGCTGGGGGTCCCGGTGTCCACATGGAGCATGTATGGACTTGGGTTGGAAGCAACAGTCTCCCTGTCCATCAGGAAGCTGATCCGCCATCGGAAAGAGACCCTGTCTCGAAGAGGTCCCCCAGCCTCCAGCCCTTCAGCCCTGACCCCGTCCATCAGTGACCCCTGTCTGGATGCCACTGCTGCCCGGCAGCCCAACAGGGTGTGTCGCTCGGGGTCTGAGCAGCACAGCCTGCCCAGCTCTGAGGACCCTGAGGCAGGCCAAGTCCTCTACCATGTACGTGGTGGGAGCTACCAAGAAGGCGGGGGTGGGGACCGTGGATTTGTACCAAGGCTCCAAGAGCCACCTCGGGCTGGCGGTATGGCCCAGAGCGCGGACCTGTTGGCAGCCGCCCCCAGCCCACTTCTGTCCTCCCAGGTCCCGGCACAGCCCCGCCGGGCAGCACCCACCACACCACCCCCACCGGTGAAGCGCCGTGACCGTGAGGCCCTGGTGGCCTCAGGGAGTGGTGAGAACGGGCTGGGGGGAGCCCTGGGCTTGGGGGCAGATGGCACGTGCCGCGGTGGGGCGGGTGGGGAACTGGGCTTGGAGGGCGCCCCTGGAGCTGGCCAGCACAGCTCCTCCACTCTCTGCCCACAGGCGGCCACAGTGCCACACCCTCTGGGGGCAGCTCCGTGTCCAGCAGCTCCGTCAGCAGTGCCTCCCTTGATGCCCTGTATACTGGCTCCAGCTCATCCGAGCTGGGCCCCAGCTGCTCACCCACACCCCTGCCTGTGCCCCACCGGGGTGCCCACGTCACTGCCACCCAAGCTCAGCCTCCTCCCTCCAAGGTGCCAGGCTCCGAGGCCCCTGCAGAGGATGTGGCAGGTGATGGACTGGAGGCCCTGGGCACGCTGAGCCTGGGGACCACAGAGGGGAAGGAGGCAGAGACTGTGCCCAAGACCATCGGGGCAGAGCTGATGGAGCTCGTGCGCAGAAACACCGGCCTGAGCCATGCGCTGTGCCGCGTGGCCATTGGCGTCGTGGTGGGTCACATCCAAGCCTGTGTGCCGGCCAGCTCGCCTGTCATGGAGCAGGTCCTCCTCTCGCTGGTAGAGGGCAAGGTGAGGGTGGGAGGAGCTGAGGTGCGGGTGGCCACAGTGCTCTGGCTGCAGGGAAGGAAAAGGCATAGGGCGGGGCAGAGGGCAGCACCTTGCTGGCCTTGGCAGTGGAGAGAAACAGATGCTGGCTCAGACACGGGCACCCTGGGATGGGCAGTAAGCCCGTCTGCACGACGGGGCCAGAGGTTCAGGGTCAGGGAGCCGTGGTCGATGGGCTCGCCTGTGCTGGGCACGGCAGCCACCCCCTGGCCAGCGGAGCGCGGGGAAACATGGGAGGCAGCCAGTTGACAGGCCTAGTGCCGCTTTGTGAATCGGAGGGTGCGTCTCAGAGCCACGGTCAGGCAGCGAGGGCCCCACGGTCTTTCTCAGGGAGCATCTGTCCAGGGCTGGGGTGAAGGGCAAGTTGCTGGATGCATTTTGAGCAGGATCCTGTTCCGGGAGGTTCTCGACTGGGGCCGTGGAGTTGCTCGGAGAAGGCGGAGAGCTGGGCCAGTGCCTGCGGGAGCCACGGGTCCGAGGGGTGGGGGCTGAAGGGGTGCAGCGGTGTGGAGGGGAGAGAACTGGGCTGGCCCCTCACAGGTCCTGGGAGGACACTGCCCAGGGCGGCTCCCGCAGGTAGCCCTGGGCCCTTGCCTGACGCTGGCCTGGCGCTCATACTGATGACCTCAGGGTCTGGTTGAGCTCCAGTCCTTGGGACCCCCTGGGCAACGGGTAAGGAGTGTGCTGAGCCGTGCCCACCCCCTCCCCACAGGACCTGAGCGCTGCCCTGCCCTCGGGGCAGGTCTGCCATGACCAGCAGCGGCTGGAGGTGATCTTTGCAGACCTGGCTCGCCGCAAGGACGATGCCCAGCAGCGCAGCTGGGCACTGTACGAGGACGAGGGCGTCATCCGCTGCTACCTGGAGGAGCTGCTGCGCACCCTGGTGCGGGGCTGGGCCAGTCCCACTGCCCCAGCCACTCCCAGGCACCTGACGCTCCCCTCCACACCCCGTACCAGCCCGCCTGCATGTGGCCCCGCAGCCACACCGAGCCACTCTCCCTCCCTCCCTCTGCAGACAGATGCAGACCCTGAAGTGTGCAAGAAAATGTGCCAGCGGAACGGGTTCGAGTCTGTCCTGGCCTTGGTGGCCTACTACCAAATGGTGTGTGAGACGGAGGGGAGGGGTGGGGGGCCTTGGGCCGAGGTGGGGGCCGCGGACACTGAGCACACGGGGCCCCCTGCCAGGAGCACCGGGCATCGCTGAGACTCCTGCTGCTCAAGTGCTTTGGTGCCATGTGCAGCCTGGACGCCGCCATCATCTCCACACTTGTGTCGTCTGTGCTTCCGGTTGAGCTGGCGCGGGACATGCAGACAGACACGCAGGGTGAGGCGGGGCCTTTCGGCTGCCTGTGGGTTCCCGCCACCTGCGGGGCTCTGACGGCCCACCTCTTCCCCCCAGACCACCAGAAACTCTGTTACTCCGCCCTCGTCCTGGCTATGGTCTTCTCCATGGGGGAGGCAGTGCCCTACGCACACTACGGTAAGAAGACAGGCTGCTGGCCTACTGCCCGCAGGGAGCCTGGGTCCGGGGACCTGCTGAGTGCGGCCTGGCAGGGTGGCTGGCGGGGCCGGGCTGCAGGCACCGTGTGGCCCCTTCCAGAGCACCTGGGCACGCCCTTCGTGCAGTTCCTCCTGAGCATTGTCGAGGACGGCCTTCCCTTGGACGCCGCGGAGCAGCTGCCAGATCTGTGCACCAACCTGCTTCTGGCTCTCAACCTGCACCTGCCAGGTGGGCTGGGGCCCTGCTGGGAGGCACCCGGCCCCAGGGGCTCTGAGGCTCAGCCCCTTTGCCTGTGGGCGCTGTCTTTCCTCAGCCCCGGACCAGAACGTCGTCATGGCCGCCCTGAGCAGACACGCCAACGTCAAGGTCTTCTCTGAGAAGCTGCTGTTGCTCCTGAACAGAGGGGGTGAGGCCCGGAGTCCGCCGAGCCTTCCACATCCTGTGGCTCCACAGCCCCCACTCCCTGGGGTGGCTCTGGGCCCCATGAGGACCCCCTGACACCCGTCCCCGACCTCTAGATGACCCTGTGCGCATCTTCAGACACGAGCCACAGCCCCCGCACTCCGTCCTCAAGCTCCTGCGGGACGTGTTCGCCAGTCCTGCCACGGCCGCCGTCTTCTACCACGCGGACATGATGGTGCTCATCGACATCACTGTGCGGCATGTCACTGACCTGTCACCTGGAGACAAGGTGCCCGCGGGCATCTGCCGTGGGGACGGCTGTGGGGGAAGGAAAGGCGGGACGTGGCACGGAGAGGAGATGAGGGCTGGAGGATGTGGGGGAGGCGGGGTAGTGGCCGTGGTGGCAGGGGCAGGCCTGGCAGGCGCGGAGGAGGCCCAGCAGGGCTTGCTGCCGGTTTTGTTTTGAGCGACCAGGTGGCTGGGCACTGATTTCTGAGGTGGGGAGGATCTCTGGGGGAAAAGGAGAGTCGTGTTTTGCCACATGGGGATTGCAGACACTTGGTAGGCCCCCAGACACAGCGGAGCCCGGGAGGCAGTGGGGTGGGAGTCCAGCCGGAGAGAGGCCCTCCCAGGCTGCGTGCATGGGGGTGGTGAGGCGTGGTCACTGGGGAGCGACGTGGACAGGTCCAGCCCGGGGCTCGGTGGGGCCAAGGAGGCACGGGGGACATGGGCGAGGCGCTCAGGAACGGCAGGCTTGCGAGGAAGGGCTGGCACTGTCCCAGGGCTTGGCAGCGATGCCTGCAGTCAGAGGGGAAGGGAAGCACAGGGGGGTGGGGGGCAGGGAACAAGCTGCTCAGGGGATGGGTCAGTGAGGAAGTGGAGAGGTGCGGGCAGGGCTTCTGGGAGGGGCTGGAGGTGGGCTTGGGGCACGCGTGCACGGGAAGGGCTGGGGGTCCCGGGGACGGGCTGGGGGTGAGGTGTGTGGGAGAGACGTTCCTGAAGGGCAGCCAGGATTCTGGCCTTGCACTTGGGTGGGCTGCAGTGCTGTTAATGAGAGAGAACACAGGAAGGCCTCTGTTCTTGGGGAGCGGGGAGGGTCTCGCATCTGGGGCTGGCTGTGTGGATGTGAGGTCGCTCTGAGGTACCTGGGATGGCAAGTGGGCAGAGGGACATTCTCTGGAGCCCACTGGAGAAAGTGAGGCAGCAGGTGTGCGTGGGGGTCACTGAAGCTGAGGTATGATGAGGTCCAAAGGGCCTCTGAGGGGCAGCCTCCCTGGAGGACCCCAGGTTAAAGGGTGGCAGGGGCTCGCTGCACCCCCTGCTCTCTCTGGGCCTCGGCCTCCAGGGTTGGTGGCCTTCTGTGTCTAGACAAGCCACTCACTCGCTTACTGCACGCATGTCGAAGGCCAGCTCCGTGCCGGGTATGTGCTGGCTGCTGGGATGCAGCCCTGACCTTCGGTGGCGTGAGGTGGGCCATGGCCTGGGGTCCACGTGGCTGCCTTGAGGCGGTGGTGGCCTCTCCCCTTTAGGGGCAGGTGCAGGCCTCCCATGTAGCCCGAGCCTGCCTGCTCCTTCACAGCTGCGCATGGAGTACCTGTCCCTGATGCACGCCGTGGTCCGCTCCACGCCCTACCTGCAGCACCGCCACCGGCTCGCTGACCTGCAGGCCACACTGCGGCGCATCCTGGCCGAGGAGGAAGCCTCGCCCCAGTGCCAGGTGGACCGCATGATAGTCCAGGAGATGTGCAGGGAGTTCCCAGTGCTGGGCGAGGCCCCCGGCTAGCACCATCCCCAGCTCCCGGAGGCCCCCGGCAGTGCGGCCCTACAGATGCCGAGCGCCGATGCTGCAAGGGGAGGAGGCGTGGCAGGGCCCACGCCCAGGAGCTGTACAGCCAGGCGGGCCGGAAGGGCCGCCTCTCCCAGAAGGCTGACCCTCCAGCTTGCCCCCTCCGTGCCCAGAGCCCTGCTGCCCCCGCCCCATCCCGCCCGGTCTCTCCTGGGCCTCTGCGCACTGTATGCCTGTTGATGGCAGCTCTGCCCTTTGCCTTAGCTTCGCAGCGTGTGCCGCTCATACGCCCCCAAGCCCTGTCCCGGTGGCGTGCTCCCCTTCACTCCCACCCCCAGGGTCCTGGCCAGGCTGCAGCTTTGAGAGCTGAATCTTGGAGAGGCCATACCGTCTCCTCACAGTGCGGGATGATAGCTCTCAGAATCCGTTTTTTCTGTCAAGACGTCGATGGAACCGTGTATATTTTCCTGTGTGCTGCGGTGTGCCTTTGGAAATAAATGCCAGGCATCTGGCTACCGGCCTCCCTGTTTGCCCTGGTGGTGGTGGGACTGGACGACCAGGGCACCGGGCAGGACCTGTGACTCCCCCACCCCGCCCTTTCCCCTCTAGCCTGAGGAGCTGATGGCCCCTGACAGGCCTGTCCAGCCAGGTCAGCAGGTCCAGCCTCCCTCCCGAGTTCCCGGTGAGCATCTGGCTGGCTGCCTGCAGGTGACCGCCTTTCCAGGCCTCACTGACATGTGCCTTTGCCTTGAAAGCCATCTTGCTTTGCCATCTTGCTTTCCCTGCTGACACCCTGCAGTCACATGAAGCAGGCCCCGCCCTGCCCTGGCCGTCTGGGACGCCCCCCTCCCAGCTGTTTCCCGTCACCTTTGGTCAGTAGGTCCAGCACAACCCCTTGTTTTGTGGTAGTAATGATCAGGCAGGACCCCTGTCTCCCCAGAGCAGGTCAGGTCAGCACTCCTGCTTGAGGGACCAGGGGGCTATTTTCCCTGTGGGCTCCCAAGTTCGCAGAGGTGCTCACCACGAGTGGCGGTGGAGTCCAGGAAGCCCCAGGAGGAGGGCTTGATTCCCCAAGACTAATTTAGCGAGAGCACGGGGGTGGGCCAGAGCTGGGGATGTAGGACAGGGAATCCTGGGGTCCAGGCACGGCCAGCAAGGGGGGTGTCCTTGTGGAACTTTGGAGGCTGAGCACACAGGCCCACTGGGACCTGAGGAGGTACTGCCCGAATGTAAGACCCTGGGAAACTGGGCGACGCAGCTCCGCTCCGCACCCCTTTTGCATCCAGCATGAGCAATGCTGACCTCCAGGCACAACGGCTTTCTCGCTGGAGTGCCAGCAGATCATTCTCCCGAGGTAGTGTGACACGGCGGAAAGCACGGATCCTTGGGAACTGAGGAGGAATGTGGACAGCCTCTGCATGTGCTCTGCTCCCGGGTGTGGGCACGAGGCATGCTGGCCTCAGGGAAGAGTAGGGCCGTTTTGTGCTTTCTGTCCAACACTGCCACCTACAGTGGCCCCACAGCAGGAGGATGAGAGCCCCCTGCCCACTTGGCGCAACTGTCCAGGGGATACTTGCATGTGTATGTAAAGCATGTAGCAGCCCCAGATTGCAAATAAAGGCTGGCCCAGCAGCAAACACACTGGCGGAGGGTCCAGGACCCCCTCAGCAAATACCTTGGTGGTTGTGTCCCAACACAAAATTTCAGCCACAAGAGAAAACAGTGGTTAGCTGGAGAAGCCCTCTGCAGTGGCCACCTGCTGGAGGGAACACCTTTGGCTGCCTGGCAGGACGGCAGGCACAGGATGTGACAAGGCTGAGAAAGTGCCCGAAGAAGGCAGCCATGCCGCAAGGGAGTATTTGGGTGGGGCTCAGAAGGAAACTCAGGAAATGTTCAGGGACAGCGAGGGACAGGGCTTGGGGCTGACCTCCGCTACAAGTGGGTGCCAGCACTGCGTCTGAGACCACTGTGGACCACAGGCTATGCAGGCAAGTCCAGGGGGTGGGGGTGGGCCACCGCCTGCCCAGTCCCCAAGAGACAGGCTGGACCTCTGTGTTGGTGAGCCCTGTTTTTTCCCCCCTTGTTTTTATGGAAGAATAGCATACCATGAAAAGTACAGCGGGCAAAGCGTAGCTTTGCATGATGACAGAATGTTACAGGTCAGCAAACAGAAGGTCATCACCCCCCAAAGCCCGCTCATGTGCCCCCTTAAGGCACTGAGTCCCTTCTCCAACCCAGATCTCCACCCTAGAGGCAATTAGATATGTTTTGCCTGTTTTGCACTTTACATACGGAATCAAAGTATACACGCTCTTGGGCCAGCCTCCTCAGTCACCACTAAATTTTCAAGATTCAATCTGTTAAAGGATGTGTTTGTGGTTTGTTCACTACCAGTGTTGTGTGGGGCATACCCTCACTCATTCATCCCCTGTGGATGACCTTCCAGTGTCCAAATTCTGTTATGAATAGTGCTGTCAGGAACATTGTCATACATGCCTTCTTTTTGCACATATGTGTTACATGCGGGCATATACTCTCAAGTGGAATTACAGGGTCACAGGCCAACACTGCCAAATGGCTTTGGGAGGTTTCTGCACCCTGGTGTGCCCCTCCAATATCCAGGAGTGCCAGCTCCCTCAAGGCTTGTATCGCTAGTTTTCTCTAGTCATTCTGGCATAGGGGTATTTGACTTTTACCTTCGTTGCTGTCTGATGGTCACAGGTGGGGCGCCTTTTCGTTAGTGCACTGCCTGTGCGGGGCTTCTCTTCCATGAGGCTCAGGTTCAGCTTGGCTCACACTGTCAGCTACTGGGTTGTCTGTCTTTTATTGATCCATAGTACATATTCAGCACACGAGTCTTTTGGGCTATATATCTTATAATATCCCATTCACAATGTCTTTTGATGAAAGTTCTTAATTGTACTGTTACCCAGTTTTTCACTATTTTCTTAATGTTTAGTGTGTTTTGTGTCCTGTTACTCTTTGCTTAGAGTTGTGAAGTGTTTCTGGGTTTTCTGCTAAAAGCAGTACTGCCTTTTCTTACACATTCAGAGGTCATATCTGTCTGGGATTGGCTGTGTGAGTAGTGTGAAGGAAGGTCTCACTCAATGTTTTATTTTCTAATTGTTAATATATAGAAATTACAACTGATTTTTGTATATTGACCTTGTGTCCAATGATTTTGCTGAATTCACTCTAACTTACATAGGTTTAGATTTTTTACACACAATCCTGTTGCCTGCGAATGAGTTTTATTTTTTCCTTTCCAGTCCTCTCACCTTTTTATTTTTCTTACTTCATTGCCCTGGGTAGGCTTGTGGTCATGTGAAATGTAGTTTTCCGTAGCAGTGGTCTGCTCCTCCAGAGGTGGGGCATACCCAGCCTGAGCGGGGTCAGACTTCAGCCCGGGGTGTTTGTCTGAGGTGAGCAGGGCAGAAGAGCCGTGTGGCCCTGGGTTCTATAAGGCTGATGGTGAATGTGAAGGGCTGAGGATGTGGACGGTGGGCCAGAGCGCTCAGTGAGAGCAAAGAGCCGTCGGGTAACCGAGCTGGACATGGTGACCAGGTCTTCAGGTCTGCTCCTGACTGGAGCAAGCTGCCGCTGGTTGGGAGGGAGGAGGGGTAAACACGGGGCAGGAGAGAGGCCCAGATGTCCCAGAAGGCAGCTTCCATCAAGCCGTTGCCCTCCGGACTGTGGACCTGCTCTCCATCCGCCCCAGGGCAGCCTCAGATCCAGGACTGTGAGCTCTCTAGCTTGTTGCTAATGAGAAGAGGCCAGGGACGAGGGATCTTGCTATGTTCCTAGCAGGTAGGCGCGAGGCTGGACTTCAAGGGAGGAACGCTCTCAAAATTTGTTTTTTGGGTTCACAGGGGGACACACCTGTGAACACCTCTGGACAGGGGTGTTAAGGAGAGGTCTAGGTCTCCACAAGGAGCATCAGCTGAGGCCGGTGCTAGCCCTAGTGGGGAGGGCACAGCTTGGTTTTCCTTGGCGTGGTCTCTTCCTGCCCCTACACATTTGCCCATGCAGCCCCCAAGACAGGACGGCCCTTCCCTTGCAGCTGCCGACCCCCTCTTGGTTATTCAAGGCCCTGCTCAACATTTTCTCTGGCGGGAAGACTTCCTGGATCACTAACTTGGCTCAGGCGCCTCCTTTGGGACCCCAGCAGCCCTCCTTGATAGATGTAAACCTTTGTGCCCTCCCCTCGCTATTACCGTGGACCTGGGGGCGCGGTGGGGTGTGGGGGGAGGGCGATCCACACCCTGTATCCCGCCCTACATCGACCTGGCCCGCATCTCGCGCGTCCGCAGATGCTCTACCCCCACCCACTAAGCGCCTCCTTATGGGGTCCTTGCCCAGATGGGAAGGCTCTCCGCAGCCTGTGGGTCGCTAGTGACAGGGAAATGGGGACCCCGCCTCCCGGAAGCGAGAACGTCAGTGGGAGGGGGGCGATGGATGCACCTTCTGATTGGCTAGTGGTGATGTCATGGGCCACCCGGGGTGGGTCGCCCGTTGTGGCTCCTGGCCAGGCCCCTGCGCCGTCACTGCGTCCCGCCTGAATTTCTGTGGGCCCCTGCGACCGGCGAGGATCGCGAGGCCGGGCCCCACGGGGCTCTGGAGAGGAGCCCCACCCGGGGTCTGCTGGCTGCCGGCACGGGGGGGAGAGCTCGGCCTTTGCCCAGCTGCGGGCGGCTGTCCCCAGTCCCCTACTCCATAGGCCGCCCCAGCAAGCAGATGGTCACACATGCTTCACGAGTTGAACTCCCTGGTCAGACGGTTTAAAGGTATTGCCTTTGCCGCCGGGGTCCACAGCCCCGTGCACTCACCGTCCCCTCCGCCCCCAGGATTCCACACGGTGTCCCAGCCCGCGACCCGTGCACGGCACGGGCACCAAATTTTCAGACCAACTCCGGGACAGAGCTCGGAACTAGTGCGCAGAAGCAAGACGGGTGTGGAACTGGGCCCCGCCCTATAAATAGGGAGGCCGCGAGGAGGGCCACGGCGGCTAGCGAGAAGGGGGTGGGGCCCAGGGGCGGGGAACCCTAACGTCCAATTCAGTACCGTGGGCAGTGCTCGTGCCTTGCCCTCAATAAATATGGCGAAGACGGCTTTGGCGGTCAAAGCTGCCATGCGCAGTGGGCTGTACCACCGGATTCGGAGATTCGGGGCGGAGGAGGAACGAACCATCGCTGCGGCCGGGAGCCATGTTGGAGCGGCGGGAGGCGGCGGCAGCATCGGGCATGCTGCGGTGGGGGCCGCAAAAGCCGCGGCCGCACGCCAAAGGGCCACCGGCAGCGGAGTAGATGGTGCCCAGAGGGCGGAGGCGGTGCGGAGCGACAGGCCGAGGGGCGGGGGGCCGGGGCGGCGGCAGGGGCCCGGGAGGGGGCCCGAGCGGCGGGGCGGGCCTAAGGCCCGGACCCGGGCGGGGGGCGGTGGAGGCTGTGCGCGGAGGCGGGGGGTGATGGAGAAGTGGCCGCAGCGGAGGGGCCTCAGGGGGCTGACGACCCCGCTGCTCCTGCTCCTGCTCCTGTCTTTGTTCCCTCTCAGCCGGGAGGAGCTGGGGGGCGGCAGGGGCCACGGCTGGGACCCCGGGCTAGCTGCCACCACGGGGCCAGGGGCGCGGATCAGCGGCGGAGCCTTAGCTCTTTGTCCCGAGCAGCCCGGGGTTCAGGAGGGTGGAGAGCCTGGCCTGGGAGTCAGGGAGCCTGTTGTGGGGCTCCGAGGGTCAAGGCAAAGCGCCCAGAGTGGTCGAGGGCCTCCTGAGCAGCCGGACGCGAGAGTGGGGGCGAAATACGGGGCCCAGGCACCAGGCAGCCGCGGGAGAGAGGCAGGACGGGAACCAGGGTCTCTGTTGTGCGGGCGCCCAGAGGTCTCCTCTTGCGCGCCGACGGGACCTTTGCGAAGAGATGGTCTGTGTCCAGAGGCTCTGTCCCCGGGGGCCCCGGGCCTGAAGAACAGCTCGCCCTTCCCTTCAGACCTTCTGGTTTGGCCCCGTGATTCCAAGTCGGTGTCCTCCCAGAGGGATGCTGAAAGAGGTGCCTCCAAAAAAGTGGGAACCACGCGCTGTTTCAGGGAGTTGTGGGCGTCGGGGCGCAGGGGCCAGGAAGAGAGAACAGCGACATCCCGAGCGGAGTGGACAGTCCCTCGGCCGGACTGTCGTCCCGGGGCTGCGGGATCTGGCCCCAGGCTGGATTCAGCACCGCGCCCTGGGAGGACAGCTCCCTCCTCCGGTTCAGCACTGCACGACTCTCGGACAGCTCCCGAGCCGCCGCCGGGGCGCATGCGCTCACGCGGTTCCTTCCGCCGGCGCTCCCTCCCGCGGCGCCCGGTGCCGCGCGCCCCAGGGGGCCCGGTTCAGTCCACAGCCAGGAGAACACCCCCTGCAGCGAACCGGGCCCGCCCCCGCCGCGCCGCCAACCGTCACCCGCAGTTTACGCAGTACAACTACCAGGCGCTGGTGCCCGAGAACGAGGTGGCGGGCACCGCGGTGCTGCGCGTGATGGCGCAGGACCCGGACGCGGGCGAGGCCGGGCGCCTGGTGTACTCGCTGGCTGCGCTCATGAACAGCCGCTCGCTGGAGCTGTTCAGCATCGACCCTCTGAGCGGCCTGATCCGCACGGAGGCCGCTCTGGACCGCGAGAGCATGGAGCGCCACTACCTGCGCGTCACGGCGCAGGACCACGGCTCGCCGCGCCTCTCGGCCACGACCATGGTGGCCGTCACAGTGGTTGATCGCAATGACCACGCGCCCGTGTTTGAGCAGGCGCAATACCGGGAGACGCTTCGCGAGAACGTGGAGGAGGGCTACCCGATCCTGCAGCTGCGCGCCACGGACGGCGACGCGCCCCCCAACGCCAACCTGCGCTACCGCTTTGTGGGGCCGCCCGCCGTACGGGCCGCTGCCGCCGCCGCCTTCGAGATTGATCCGCGCTCCGGCCTCATCAGCACCAGCGGCCGGGTGGACCGCGAGCACATGGAAAGCTACGAGCTAGTGGTGGAAGCCAGCGACCAGGGCCAAGAGCCTGGGCCGCGCTCTGCCACCGTTCGGGTACACATAACCGTGCTCGACGAGAACGACAACGCGCCCCAGTTCAGTGAGAAGCGCTACGTGGCCCAGGTGCGTGAGGATGTGCGGCCTCACACGGTGGTGCTGCGCGTCACGGCCACCGACCGGGACAGGGACGCCAACGGGCTGGTGCATTACAACATCATCAGCGGCAACAGCCGCGGCCACTTTGCCATCGACAGCCTCACGGGCGAGATCCAGGTGGTGGTGCCTCTGGACTTCGAGGCAGAGAGAGAGCATGCGTTGCGCATCCGGGCGCAGGATGCCGGCCGGCCACCACTGTCCAACAACACAGGCCTGGCCAGCATCCAGGTGGTGGACATCAATGACCACGCTCCTATCTTTGTCAGCACACCCTTTCAGGTCTCTGTCCTGGAAAATGCGCCTCTGGGACACTCGGTCATCCACATTCAGGCAGTGGATGCAGACCACGGAGAGAATGCCAGGTTGGAGTACTCCCTAACTGGTGTGGCACCTGATATGCCTTTTGTGATAAACAGTGCCACCGGCTGGGTCTCTGTGAGTGGTTCCCTGGACCGTGAGTCTGTGGAGCATTACTTCTTTGGGGTGGAGGCCCGAGACCACGGCACACCCTCTCTCTCCGCCTCAGCCAGTGTCACAGTGACTGTGCTGGATGTTAATGACAATCGGCCCGAGTTCACAATGAAGGAGTACCACCTACGGCTGAACGAGGATGCAGCTGTGGGTACCACTGTGGTCAGCGTTACCGCTGTAGACCGTGATGCCAACAGTGCCATTAGCTACCAGATCACAGGAGGCAACACCCGAAATCGCTTTGCCATCAGCACCCAGGGGGGTGTAGGTCTGGTGACACTGGCTCTGCCGCTGGACTACAAGCAAGAACGCTACTTCAAGCTGGTGCTAACTGCATCTGACCGTGCCCTTCATGATCACTGCTATGTGCACATCAATATCACAGATGCCAACACTCACAGGCCTGTCTTTCAGAGTGCCCACTACTCAGTGAGTGTGAATGAGAACCGGCCAGTGGGTAGCACTGTGGTGGTCATCAGTGCCTCTGATGATGATGTGGGTGAGAATGCTCGTATCACCTATCTTCTGGAGGACAACCTGCCCCAGTTCCGCATTGATGCGGACTCAGGGGCCATTACACTGCAGGCCCCACTGGACTATGAAGACCAGGTGACTTACACGCTGGCTATTACAGCTCGGGACAATGGCATCCCACAGAAGGCAGACACCACTTATGTGGAGGTGATGGTCAATGATGTGAATGATAATGCTCCACAGTTTGTGGCCTCCCACTACACGGGGCTGGTCTCTGAGGATGCACCACCTTTCACCAGCGTCCTGCAGATCTCAGCCACTGACCAGGATGCTCATGCCAATGGCCGGGTCCAGTACACTTTCCAGAATGGGGAAGATGGGGATGGAGATTTCACCATTGAGCCCACCTCTGGCATTGTCCGCACAGTGAGGGGGCTGGACCGGGAGGCAGTGCCCGTGTATGAACTGACTGCCTTTGCAGTGGACCGCGGCGTACCCCCCCTGAAGACGCCAGTCAGCATCCAGGTGACAGTACAGGATGTGAATGACAATGCACCTGTCTTTCCGGCTGAGGAGTTCGAGGTGCGCGTGAAGGAGAACAGCATTGTGGGCTCGGTGGTAGCTCAGATCACTGCCATGGACCCTGATGAGGGCCCCAACGCCCAGGTCATGTACCAGATAGTGGAGGGGAACATCCCTGAGCTGTTTCAAATGGATATCTTCTCTGGCGAGTTGACAGCACTCACTGACCTGGACTATGAGGCTCGCCAGGAGTACGTGATAGTGGTGCAGGCCACGTCCACCCCTCTGGTCAGTCGAGCTACCGTGCATATCCGCCTGGTCGACCAGAACGACAACAGCCCTGTGCTCAGCAACTTCCAGATCCTCTTCAATAACTATGTGTCCAACCGCTCAGACACCTTCCCCTCAGGCATCATCGGACGCATCCCAGCTTACGACCCTGACGTCTCCGACAACCTCTTCTACTCCTTTGAGCGGGGCAATGAGCTACAGCTGCTGGTGCTCAACCAGACGAGTGGGGAGCTTCGTCTCAGCCACAAGCTTGACAACAACCGCCCACTGGTGGCCTCCATGTTGGTGACTGTCACAGGTGAGGGCTGGGCAGGCAACACTTCAACCTGTCAGGGCCTTAGGGACTCCACAGGGCACTTCAAACCAAAAATGGGTTTCCCAGCCTTGCAAGAATCCCTTAAGTGCTGGGTCCCTGCCTCTGACAGGACCTGTCGTAGCCCTCACAGGTTAGGGTCACACGGTTTCTGCTTAGGTTCTTGAGTGTCTCCACAGGAGCCCAGAGATTCTAGAGCATCTAGAAGAGCTATGCAGACCATATGAACTGTCTGCTACCTTAGGGACAGCCCTCCTCCCTGCGAAAGGCTGGGGGTCCCGGGTCATTGCTCCAGAGATCATGGGCAATACCAGCACAGGCCAGTCAGTGCACACCACCCCTGCTCAGATGGTGGGTCACTCTGGGTCCAGCCTGCCCCTCACCCCACCTGTGCAGGAGAGGGGGGCCAATAGTTCAGTGTCTTCAGAGAGTGGGCCCGCATTGGCCTGGCTGCTCTCCACGCGACTGACCAAGGGCCTTGCCTTTGGGAAAGCGTCTAGAGGTCCACTGGTCTCTTCCCCACTTCCCGCAGCCCTAGGCTTTGACAACGCCCTCCCTAGTGGGAGAGGGTGAGTGGGAGAGGCTCTTGCAATTCTGCATAGCACAGGCTGCAGAGTTTAGGAGATACGCTTTCCCGGTGTTCATTCCCCAATTCTGGAGCATGAACTCCTGGCACTGCCAAAGGAGGCACAGCCTTCATTTATCCCCCAATTCACTCAACAGCCAATCTTTATTGACCTCCAGCTGTTTAGTAGGTGATGGGTCGGGGTACTGTCCCAAGGCTCTGGGGGTGGAGTTGAGTGGTCACAGGTACAGGGCCCCTTCTGGTGCCGCGGGAAAGCAGTTTGCTCTCCAGAGATAGGGGATGGGTGGTGGCTGACCTAGAACCCTGTCCGTTTCTTTGAGGAGAAGGCTCACTACAACAGTGGGGGATGGAAGGGGAATGGGTTTTCCGTGGCCCTGGCTCATCTTTGTGTCCTAGTGGGGGTGGCCTGCTGACCAGAATAACCTGGGGAAGGATGAGTTACTGATCACTTTAGGGACCTTCTTGCGGACCTCCTGGAGGAATGACTTGCTGACCCATGGGCACTATTGGGCGTACGGCTCTTGATCCCTGGCTCAGGCCCCTCCTGATGTTGGAGGGGGAAAGAGAGCAGCAACGTATTGACTCCTTGATGCGGGGGAGCCTGGTGGTCACAAGCCCCAGACCCTCCTGTGTCCTGGCAGGGTCAGCCTGCTGACTCAGAGGGGCTGCGGGCTGGGCTGTCATCGGCCCAGCCCTCCTGAGTCCCAGGGAGGGGCAGCTGCCGACCCCGGACTGAGCACTGCCTCGCCCCCGCCTGCAGATGGGCTGCACAGCGTGACGGCGCAGTGTGTGCTGCGCGTGGTCATCATCACGGAGGAGCTGCTGGCCAACAGCCTGACGGTGCGCCTGGAGAACATGTGGCAGGAGCGCTTCCTGTCGCCGCTGCTTGGCCACTTCCTGGAAGGCGTGGCCGCCGTGCTTGCCACCCCCGCCGAAGACGTCTTCATCTTCAACATCCAGAACGACACGGACGTGGGGGGCGCCGTGCTCAACGTGAGCTTCTCGGCGCTGGCGCCGCGCGGGGCGGGCGGGGACGCCGCGGGCCCCTGGTTCAGCTCTGAGGAGTTGCAGGAGCAGCTGTATGTGCGCCGCGCCGCGCTCGCCGCGCGCGCACTGCTGGACGTGCTGCCCTTCGACGACAACGTGTGCCTGCGCGAGCCCTGCGAGAACTACATGAAGTGCGTGTCGGTGCTGCGCTTCGACTCGTCGGCGCCCTTCCTGGCCTCGGCCTCCACGCTGTTCCGGCCCATCCAGCCCATCGCCGGGCTGCGCTGCCGCTGCCCGCCCGGCTTCACCGGGGACTTCTGCGAGACCGAGCTCGACCTCTGCTACTCCAACCCCTGCCGCAACGGCGGCGCGTGCGCGCGGCGCGAGGGCGGCTACACCTGCGCGTGCGGCCCGCGCTTCACTGGTGCGCGGGCGCGTCCCGGGAGGCGCGGGGGGCGGGGCCTGAGGAGGGGCGGGCCGTGGGTGGGCGGTGCTTGTGGCCAGGAGGGGCGGGGCCGCGCGGGGTCCTGGGCGGCCTGGGATGGCCTCAGGGCTGGGCTGGCGCGGCGGTGAGCGCCTCTGACAGCGACTTGGCTCCCAGGAGAGGACTGCGAGCTGGACACGGAGGCCGGACGCTGCGTGCCCGGCGTCTGCCGCAATGGAGGCACCTGCGCCGACGGGCCGACGGGGGGCTTCCGCTGCCAGTGCCCGGAGGGCGGCGCCTTCGAGGGCCCGCGCTGCGAGGTGGCGGCGCGCTCCTTCCCCCCCAGCTCGTTCGTCATGTTCCGCGGCCTGCGGCAGCGCTTCCACCTCACGCTGTCCCTCTCGTAGGTGTCGTCGGCCCCGGCGGGCGCCCCGTCGCAGGGATGGTGGGTGGGTGCGAGGAGGGGTCCAGCTCGGTGATGCGCCCGCCCCCCACGCAGGTTCGCAACCGTGCAGCCGAGGGGGCTGCTCTTCTACAACGGGCGCCTGAACGAAAAGCACGACTTCCTGGCCCTGGAGCTCGTGGCCGGGCAAGTGCGGCTCACATACTCCACGGGTGGGTGCCGCCGCGCATGCGTGTGGACCTCGGGTGCACGTGTGCGTGACACGCGGGCACAAGCCCCCAGCCCCCGCAGGTCTGGTTCGCTGCTCGCCTGAGCACACCGCTGTGTCGGGGCCAATCCCTGTGGGAAAGCGCGCCTCCCCGAGAGGTGTGTGCTGCTGCCTTTAGGAGCTCTCCGGTCGGCCTGCGGGTCACCGGTGGGGGGCGGTGTTCTGATCACCCGCGGTCACCCTGGGAGTAGCTGTGCCTAGCTGGCTGGGGGCAGGGGCGGCGAATTAACAGCTGCATCCCTCCGCAGGTGAGTTCAACACCGTGGTCAGCCCCACAGTTCCAGGGGGTCTGAGTGATGGGCAGTGGCACACAGCGCATCTGCGATACTACAACAAGGTGGGCACCACCCTTGGCCTGGTAATACGGGAGAGCTGGGCGCCAAGTTCCGGCCCTTGCCCCAGGGTCACCGTGGGGGCCCTGTTCAGTGGTGTGCCTGGGTCTCTAGCCCCGGACAGATGCTCTGGGGGGTGCTCAGGGCCCTTCCAAGGACAAGGTGGCTGTGCTGAGCGTGGATGACTGCGACGTGGCCGTGGCTCTGCAGTTTGGTGCTGAGATTGGCAACTACTCATGCGCAGCTGCTGGCATGCAAACAAGCTCCAAGAAGTGAGGCCCCCGCCCCCATCCTGTGCCCCCTGCCTGCCAAAGCCCATCCCTTCACATACCCTCTCCTCACTCCAGCCGCTGAATTTCCCCCTCCCCACCAGATCCCTGAAACCCCACCTTGCCCGAGCCCCATCCCTGTATTCTGCCCCCGACTCCCTGTCCCCACACACAGGCACCGGGTAGCCAGACCCCCAAGGTCTCTACTCTCTCATCCTTTCCAGTGCCCCACTTACCCTCTTGACCCCCCAGAATCTTCACCTCTCCATCCCCTCTCCCTCTTTCATACCAGCTCTCAAGCCTAGCTTCTTTCCTGACCTTTGTGAGCTCTCCTTTGCACCCCTACTGCTGAAGTAAGGCCCTAGCTCTGTCCATAGCTTGGCCTTACCTCCCCCACTCAGTCACCTTACCCTCAAGTCCCTATACTGGCCCCAGTCACACCAGTGACCCAGACCCCTGGCCCCCAGGTCCCTGGACCTGACGGGCCCCCTGCTTCTGGGGGGTGTCCCCAACCTCCCCGAGAACTTCCCCGTGTCCCACAAGGACTTTGTCGGCTGCATGCGGGACCTGTACATTGATGGCCGCCGAGTGGACATGGCGACCTTCGTTGCAAACAATGGCACAATGGCAGGTAGGCCTTGTACCCATCACAGGGAGGGGGTGGCAGGCTACACGGAGTGACCCTAAATCTAATCTCACCCCTGTTTCCTTTGCTGGCAAGCACCATGCCATAGCCTAGCCTTTAGGGTCTGCCTCCTACCAACCCCACCTCCTGAGAGAACATAGGGCTGAGACCAGGGCCACTGCTGGCCCCTCTGGACTCTTGTGTCCTTCCCACTCTGGTGTTCATGTCCCTTCTGTGTGCCTTCCTCTCCCAGGCTGCCAGGCCAAGCTGCACTTCTGTGACTCAGGCCCCTGCAAGAACAGCGGCTTCTGCTCGGAGCGCTGGGGGGGCTTCAGCTGTGACTGCCCCTTGGGCTTCGGTGGCCAAGACTGCCGGCTTAGTGAGTGGGCAGGAAGGGCCAGGAGGGGCCTGTGGGAGGCCTGCTCCTGAGATGGGGCCGTGACCCTGCTCCTTTTACACCCTCAGCCATGGCCCATCCCCACCATTTCCGTGGCAATGGCACGCTGATCTGGGACTTTGGAAATGATATGGCTGTGTCTGTGCCATGGTACCTGGGACTGGCATTTCGGACGCGGGCAGCACAGGGGGTCCTGATTCAAGTACAGGCTGGGTCACACAGCTCGATCCTCTGTCAGGTGTGTGTGCCCATGGAACTTCCCTAGACCCTCAGCTCTCAATCTGATGCCACCAGCAATGTATGTAGTTCAGACCTGGTCCCCAGAACACTTCTCTGCCAGGTGTTCCGACCATACTTGACCTTGCTCTGGACCCTGGACCTTGACCCTCTTCCTCACCATGATATCTTCTACAGGAACAGGACAGCAGCAAAGCTCTCTTGTGGCTACACCAGTCTGTCACCCCAGTCCTGACCCCTGCTACCTTACCTTCTCAGTAACATCATGTCCCTGAGCACAGCCCCTCTGTGCTAGACATAGCTTGTCCTTCACTGATCTGACCTCTGAATCCCCTGCCTGCTCTCCTGAACTCCCAGCCCCAGCCCAACTCAGGGCCCTGACCCAGGACTCTGCCTGTCTACCTGCAGCTGGAACGGGGGCTGCTGTCTGTGACAGTGACCAGGGGCTCAGGCCTTGCTGCCCACCTCCTTCTGGACCAGGCGGCTGTCAGTGATGGCCGGTGGCACCATCTGCAGCTGGAGTTACAGGAGGAGCCAGGTGGCCGGCGGGGCCGCCATGTCCTCATGGCCTCACTGGACTATAGCCTCTTCCAGGTCTGACCTCTGCCCCTGGAAGACTCCCCTTTGACCCCAGTTCCAGCCTAGCCCTTCATTGCCTTCTGCTGCACGTGGTCTGGTGTCTTTCTCCCAGGCCCATCCTTGGATTCTTGCTCTGAGCCCACCCTGCCAGCTGGGCTGGCCCACCACCAGGCCCTCCCCACGTCAGGGAGGGTACGCACATTTCCAGCCTGCTCTCGGGGTACCTCTGCAGCCAGCACTTTGCCCAACTCTGGAAACCCCTTCTGGTCTTGGCCCTGATCTCTCCAGCTCAAAATCATGGGTCCAGGAGAGAGGGGCCCATGTGAGCCCAGCTCCTGACTGGGCCCCTGTGCCCCGCCAGGCTCCCCCTCCCCAGGAGCGGCTTTCCCAGCCCACGTCCCTGGTGCAGAGGAGCTGAGCGCCACTGGTCATGCAGGGCTAGGCCAAGGCTGACTCTGGGATAGGCCCGGGGTCCGTCGGGCTCCCCCACAGCCCCAGTGGTCACGGTTCCCCCCCTTAGGACACCGTGGCGGTGGGGAGTGAGCTGCAGGGCCTGAAGGTACAACGGCTCCACGTGGGGGGCCTGCCCCCCAGCAGCGAAGAGGCGGCTCCGCAGGGTCTGGTCGGCTGTATCCAGGTGGGGGTCAGCATGGGAGCATGATGTGGGGTATCAGGGTGAGTGGACAGAGATGGGGTGACTTTGGGGAAAGCCACACACACATGGGAGGTGCCCTGGGTGGGTGACCCAGAGCCATCAGAGACAAGTGAAGCTTTTTGGGGTTGTTGGAGGTCAGAGCCTAATAAGATGATCAAGTATCATTAGAGGTTTATGTCAAGAACCGCACAATTAAGAGTCCCCTTGGGGAACTGAATCCGGGAGGTGGGGGTGCAGTCTGAGGGAGGCTCGGGCCATCAGACCAGGGGCTGGCTCCGCGGGGGCTGAGGCGCTTCCCTGTGGGTCTCACCCCTTGCTGGCTGTGTCCATAGGGGGTCTGGCTTGGCTCCACGCCTTCAGGGTCCCCGGCCCTGCTTCCCCCCAGCCACCGAGTGAACGTGGAACCAGGCTGTGTCGTGGCCAGTGCCTGTGCTTCTGGACCCTGCCCACCCCACGCTGACTGCCGAGATCTCTGGCAGACATTTACCTGCACCTGCTGGCCAGGTGGGATCTGGTGGGGTGGCAAGGTGGTCTGGACAGGATGCAGGGGCTCCTGTTGAAGATGGGGGTCCTGGAGAGCCTGGAGGAGGTGGGGACCAGCAAGGACAGGTGCCTGCTTCTCTGGCCAGCGTCCTGAGCTGCCCGGCCCGACCCACAGGTTACTATGGCCCAGGCTGTGTGGATGTCTGTCTCTTGAACCCCTGTCAGAACCAGGGGTCCTGCCGGCACCTGCCAGGAGCCCCCCACGGCTACACCTGTGACTGTGCAGGGGGCCACTTCGGGCAGCACTGCGAGCACAGGTAGGGCCTAGGGCCCGGGGAACCTGGTGGGGCCGGGAGGGCTGCTGGGAGACCCCGGACGCCTCTCCCCCGCTGTCCCCAGGGTGGACCAGCAGTGCCCGCGAGGCTGGTGGGGGAGCCCGACCTGCGGCCCCTGCAGCTGCGATGCTCACAAAGGCTTTGACCCCAACTGCAACAAGACAAGCGGGCAGTGTCACTGCAAGGTGCGCCTGGCCCCCACCTGACTCAGGCCCTGGCCTCTTACCCCATCCTTTCACCTAACCGTCATATCTTGTCCTTGGCAAGTGGCCCTTCCTTTGCTCTCACTTGATGTCAAGCCCTGACCCCTGACCTCAGGCCCCTCACCCACTCTCAAACAGGAGTTCCACTACCGGCCGCGGGGCAGTGACTCGTGCCTCCCCTGTGACTGCTACCCTGTGGGCTCCACCTCGCGTTCCTGTGCACCCCACAGCGGGCAGTGCCCCTGTCGTCCAGGAGCCCTTGGCCGCCAGTGCAACAGCTGCGACAGTCCTTTCGCAGAGGTGACAGCCGGTGGCTGCCGGGGTGAGCAGGCTCCATGCGGCTCCACACACCGAGGGCTCCGGCACACTGCCCCCAAGTGTCGGCGTGTGCGGCTCCTTGGGTGGGGATTCAAGGAGGCTTCTGCAGGCCACCACTGACACCCAGACACACCCACATCTGCCCCATTACTTTGACCTGACAGGCCCGCTCTGTGAGGCCACGGAGGGGTGAAGGGAGGTGGGCGGGGACGGGTGGTGAGGAGCAGTGGGGGTGGCTGCCACCTGCCCCTGCCCCTGCCCCTGGCCACCGGGCTCAGTGCCTCCTCTCTCCCCCAGTGCTCTATGACGCCTGCCCCAAGTCCCTGAGATCTGGCGTATGGTGGCCCCAGACCAAGTTTGGTGTCCTGGCCTCAGTGCCCTGTCCTCGGGGGGCCCTGGGTGAGTCCCTGGGGGGGGCAGGGATGTTGCTTAGGATCAGTGTGGGCCTTGCTGGAGCCACCTATTTTCCTGTGTTGGGTGGTCTTGTTCCTGCAAAGAGGTGGGAGCGGGTGAGGGGCCCACGTGTGCCCCTTACAGCCTCCTAGGGATTCTGGGGCCGTCCCCACACCCCCGCTGAGCCTCCGTCTGTTTCTCTTGGCTTCTGGGCAGGACTGCGGGGTGCAGGTAAGGGGTATATGTTTGCGCAGGTGCACTGCCCCCTCCCTCTGCCTGAGGTCTCTAAAGACTACTCCTGACCACTCCAAGTCCCTGGAGCCCCCCACCAGGCCTGAGGTCTTTGCAGTCCCCTCCCCAGGTCCTGGTACCCCCTCAGGTCTCTCCCCACTGCCTGAGCCCACAGAAGGCCCTCCCCACCTGATCTGGGCACCTTACCCAGTCCTGCCCGCTGCCTGAAGTCCCCTGGTGGCTGGGCAGGGGTTGTCTGTGCCTGCGTGCTCGCGGGGGTGTCTGTCTGTGCCTGCGTGCTCGCGGGGGTGTCTGTGCCTGTGCACGCCTCTGAGTCTGTCCCAGGGCAGGGGGTTCCTAGTTTGAGTCCAGTTCTCTCTTCGTGGCCACAGGCTCTCTAAGGGCCCGGCCAGTTCTCACACAGCCCCCACACCAGCACACAGACAAGGGAGAGATGGCGGCAGGGTCCCCTCTGGGCAGTGGACATTCACAGAACTCCCACCCCACTTCCCTTGGTCATAAAATACTCTGGAAAACCTGGTCACCAGGCCCTCCCCACGTCAGGGAGGGTACGCACATTTCCAGCCTGCTCTCGGGGTACCTCTGCAGCCAGCACTTTGCCCAACTCTGGAAACCCCTTCTGGTCTTGGCCCTGATCTCTCCAGCTCAAAATCATGGGTCCAGGAGAGAGGGGCCCATGTGAGCCCAGCTCCTGACTGGGCCCCTGTGCCCCGCCAGGCTCCCCCTCCCCAGGAGCGGCTTTCCCAGCCCACGTCCCTGGTGCAGAGGAGCTGAGCGCCACTGGTCATGCAGGGCTAGGCCAAGGCTGACTCTGGGATAGGCCCGGGGTCCGTCGGGCTCCCCCACAGCCCCAGTGGTCACGGTTCCCCCCCTTAGGACACCGTGGCGGTGGGGAGTGAGCTGCAGGGCCTGAAGGTACAACAGCTCCACGTGGGGGGCCTGCCCCCCAGCAGCGAAGAGGCGGCTCCGCAGGGTCTGGTCGGCTGTATCCAGGTGGGGGTCAGCATGGGAGCATGATGTGGGGTATCAGGGTGAGTGGACAGAGATGGGGTGACTTTGGGGAAAGCCACACACACATGGGAGGTGCCCTGGGTGGGTGACCCAGAGCCATCAGAGACAAGTGAAGCTTTTTGGGGTTGTTGGAGGTCAGAGCCTAATAAGATGATCAAGTATCATTAGAGGTTTATGTCAAGAACCGCACAATTAAGAGTCCCCTTGGGGAACTGAATCCGGGAGGTGGGGGTGCAGTCTGAGGGAGGCTCGGGCCATCAGACCAGGGGCTGGCTCCGCGGGGGCTGAGGCGCTTCCCTGTGGGTCTCACCCCTTGCTGGCTGTGTCCATAGGGGGTCTGGCTTGGCTCCACGCCTTCAGGGTCCCCGGCCCTGCTTCCCCCCAGCCACCGAGTGAACGTGGAACCAGGCTGTGTCGTGGCCAGTGCCTGTGCTTCTGGACCCTGCCCACCCCACGCTGACTGCCGAGATCTCTGGCAGACATTTACCTGCACCTGCTGGCCAGGTGGGATCTGGTGGGGTGGCAAGGTGGTCTGGACAGGATGCAGGGGCTCCTGTTGAAGATGGGGGTCCTGGAGAGCCTGGAGGAGGTGGGGATCAGCAAGGACAGGTGCCTGCTTCTCTGGCCAGCGTCCTGAGCTGCCCGGCCCGACCCACAGGTTACTATGGCCCAGGCTGTGTGGATGTCTGTCTCTTGAACCCCTGTCAGAACCAGGGGTCCTGCCGGCACCTGCCAGGAGCCCCCCACGGCTACACCTGTGACTGTGCAGGGGGCCACTTCGGGCAGCACTGCGAGCACAGGTAGGGCCTAGGGCCCGGGGAACCTGGTGGGGCCGGGAGGGCTGCTGGGAGACCCCGGACGCCTCTCCCCCGCTGTCCCCAGGGCGGACCAGCAGTGCCCGCGAGGCTGGTGGGGGAGCCCGACCTGCGGCCCCTGCAGCTGCGATGCTCACAAAGGCTTTGACCCCAACTGCAACAAGACAAGCGGGCAGTGTCACTGCAAGGTGCGCCTGGCCCCCACCTGACTCAGGCCCTGGCCTCTTACCCCATCCTTTCACCTAACCGTCATATCTTGTCCTTGGCAAGTGGCCCTTCCTTTGCTCTCACTTGATGTCAAGCCCTGACCCCTGACCTCAGGCCCCTCACCCACTCTCAAACAGGAGTTCCACTACCGGCCGCGGGGCAGTGACTCGTGCCTCCCCTGTGACTGCTACCCTGTGGGCTCCACCTCGCGTTCCTGTGCACCCCACAGCGGGCAGTGCCCCTGTCGTCCAGGAGCCCTTGGCCGCCAGTGCAACAGCTGCGACAGTCCTTTCGCAGAGGTGACAGCCGGTGGCTGCCGGGGTGAGCAGGCTCCATGCGGCTCCACACACCGAGGGCTCCGGCACACTGCCCCCAAGTGTCGGCGTGTGCGGCTCCTTGGGTGGGGATTCAAGGAGGCTTCTGCAGGCCACCACTGACACCCAGACACACCCACATCTGCCCCATTACTTTGACCTGACAGGCCCGCTCTGTGAGGCCACGGAGGGGTGAAGGGAGGTGGGCGGGGACGGGTGGTGAGGAGCAGTGGGGGTGGCTGCCACCTGCCCCTGCCCCTGCCCCTGGCCACCGGGCTCAGTGCCTCCTCTCTCCCCCAGTGCTCTATGACGCCTGCCCCAAGTCCCTGAGATCTGGCGTATGGTGGCCCCAGACCAAGTTTGGTGTCCTGGCCTCAGTGCCCTGTCCTCGGGGGGCCCTGGGTGAGTCCCTGGGGGGGGCAGGGATGTTGCTTAGGATCAGTGTGGGCCTTGCTGGAGCCACCTATTTTCCTGTGTTGGGTGGTCTTGTTCCTGCAAAGAGGTGGGAGCGGGTGAGGGGCCCACGTGTGCCCCTTACAGCCTCCTAGGGATTCTGGGGCCGTCCCCACACCCCCGCTGAGCCTCCGTCTGTTTCTCTTGGCTTCTGGGCAGGACTGCGGGGTGCAGGTAAGGGGTATATGTTTGCGCAGGTGCACTGCCCCCTCCCTCTGCCTGAGGTCTCTAAAGACTACTCCTGACCACTCCAAGTCCCTGGAGCCCCCCACCAGGCCTGAGGTCTTTGCAGTCCCCTCCCCAGGTCCTGGTACCCCCTCAGGTCTCTCCCCACTGCCTGAGCCCACAGAAGGCCCTCCCCACCTGATCTGGGCACCTTACCCAGTCCTGCCCGCTGCCTGAAGTCCCCTGGTGGCTGGGCAGGGGTTGTCTGTGCCTGCGTGCTCGCGGGGGTGTCTGTCTGTGCCTGCGTGCTCGCGGGGGTGTCTGTGCCTGTGCACGCCTCTGAGTCTGTCCCAGGGCAGGGGGTTCCTAGTTTGAGTCCAGTTCTCTCTTCGTGGCCACAGGCTCTCTAAGGGCCCGGCCAGTTCTCACACAGCCCCCACACCAGCACACAGACAAGGGAGAGATGGCGGCAGGGTCCCCTCTGGGCAGTGGACATTCACAGAACTCCCACCCCACTTCCCTTGGTCATAAAATACTCTGGAAAACCTGGTCTGTTTCAGTGTGTGTGCGTGCATGTGTGCATGTGTGTGTGTGTCTCTCTGTGTTTGTAGTAATCTGGCACCTGTTTGTGTGCACATCTGAGCATGTGTGTGTGCATCTATGACCATGCCTCTGTGCCTGGCCCGTGTGTGTGTGTGTGTGTGTGTGTGTGTGTGTGTGTGTGGCCCTGCCGCCCCGTGTGTGTGTGTGTGTGTGTGTGGCCCTGCCGCCCCGTGTGTGTGTGTGTGTGTGTGTGGCCCTGCCGCCCCGTGTGTGTGTGTGTGTGTGTGTGTGTGTGTGGCCCTGCCGCCCCGTGTGTGTGTGTGTGTGTGTGTGTGTGTGTGTGTGTGTGTGTGTGTGGTGTGTGTGTGTGTGGCCCTGCCACCCCACGGGGTCTGCCTGGGTGGGGGCTGGGGCTCCCCACAGAAAGGGGAGGGTGCTGGTCACCTCAGGGAGGGCGTTCAGGCCCCAGGTCTGACCAGGGGTCGCCTGCCCCCAGGTGCTGCTGTGCGGCTCTGTGACGAGGACCAGGGTTGGCTGGAGCCTGACCTCTTCAACTGTACCTCCCCTGCCTTTCGAGAGCTCAGCCTGCTGGTGAGACTGCGCAGGCCTGCCCATGCCTGCCCTGGCCCAGCTCCCAGGCTGTGGGGGGCCCAGACACTGTGCCCTAGCCCTTGACCTCCTGGGCTTTTAATCTGCCCAAACTCTTCTTCCCGCAAAGCTGTTGAGAAAGGTCTAAGGAGGCGCAGAGCAACACCCCCATTTTGTCCTGGCAGCTGGATGGCCTGGAGCTGAACAAGACAGTCCTGGACACTGTGGAGGCCAAGAAGCTGGCTCAGAGGCTACGGGAGGTGACGGGCCACACTGACCACTACTTCAGTCAGGATGTCCGAGTCACTGCTCGCCTGCTGGCCCACCTGCTGGCCTTTGAGAGCCGCCAGCAGGGCTTCGGGCTGACGGCCACACAGGACGCCCATTTCAACGAGGTGGGGCTGCACCCTGTGTCCATACCCCAGCCCTGGGCCCCCAGCCCTGAGTCCCATGCCCCCCGTGTCCTCCCCACCCCCTCAGCCTGCCCTGTCCCCTCCCATGCCCATACCTGGCTGAGCCCACTCCCATCCCGCCTCCTCCCAGAACCTGCTGTGGGCTGGCTCTGCACTACTCGCCCCAGAGACCGGGGACCTGTGGGCAGCGCTGGGGCGGCGGTCCCCTGGGGGCTCCCCGGGCAGCGCGGGCCTGGTGCAGCACCTGGAGGAGTACGCGGCCACACTCGCCAGGAACATGGAGCTCACGTACCTGAATCCTGTGGGGCTGGTGACACCCAACATCAGTATGTGGCGGGTGGGACGCGGTGGGGGGGCTGTGGAAGGGCAGGGCCTGGAGTCCGGAGTGTCGGGGGCTGGACCACCATCCTCTGAACTTTGCAGCGACAGGCTCTGCACTGATTGTAGGAAGTCATGGGCTGTGGGGTTTGTGTATAGGATGGGGGCCCGAGGGAATGGGGCCCTCAGAGGGTGGGGAGACCCTTAAGGACCTTACCCTCTTCCTCCCGGGCAGTGCTCAGCATCGACCGCATGGAGCACCCCAGCCTGGCCCAAGGTACCCGGCGCTACCCTCGTTACCATAGCAACCTTTTCCGCGGCCAGGATGCCTGGGACCCTCACACACATGTGCTGCTGACTTCCCACTCCCCGCGGCCATTCCCCCCTGAAGGTGAGGGCCCTTGGGGACCCCCAGGCCAGGTCTGGCTTCCCTCCCACACCAGCCCTCCACCCTGCAGCCTGCCCCACCAGGCCCGCTTCCTCACCATAGGTGACCTGTCCCAGGCCGGGGTAGGCCACACCCCTGGCCTGCAGGGAAGGGACTCCCTTACCCGATGGGCTGGGTCGTGGGCACCTGGGGTTGGAGGTCACTGACAGTGGCTCCTCCCCATCCTCCCAGCAGTTCTGCCCACAAGCAGCAGCAGGGAAAACACCACCTCAAGTGTGGGCCCCCCGCCTGCCCCCCCAGAGCCCCAGCCTGAGCCTGGGGTCTTCATCGTCATCCTCCTGGTTTACCGTGCCCTGGGGGGCCTGCTTCCTGCCCAGTTCCAGGCCGAGCGCCGGGGCGCCAGGTACTGCGGTGGGTCACTCCCAGACCCCTCCCCCTGAGCTTCCACAAGCTCCGACCCAGCCTAGCGCCCCCTTTTCTGGCGGCAGATGAGCAGGCCCATGAGCAGCACACCCACGCACAGCTCCGGGGTCTGGTCTGTGCTGCGCTCCATGGGAATCCTGTTCTCTGGGGCTGTGCGGAGGAGCGGGCGGGTGCCACGGGTGCAGTCACAGGACTGAGAGGGACAGGAGCCAGACGGGCCAACCGAGGGAGTCGGATCGGGGTGGCAAGGAGGGCAGCTGGGGACAGAGTGGCACTGCTTGGGTCACAGAGCCTGGTGTGGGCAGTGGTCTGCAGGACCGTGACACCCCAGCAAGGCCATGGACTCCTGGTCTTGAAGCAGCCCAGCAGAGGCTGACGGGGTTCTCAGAAACAGCACCCACTCTGGGGCACCCCAGACTCTGGGCCAGCCGTGCAGGTGGCACTCAGACAGGCAGGCAGAGCATGGGGAGGCCGGTGGCGCCCGAGCCTGGTGAGCTGTCTCCTCAGGCTTCCCCAGAACCCTGTTATGAACTCCCCGGTGGTCAGCGTGGCTGTGTTCCATGGACAAAACTTCCTGAGGGGTGTCCTGGAGCCCCCCATCGGCCTCGAGTTCCGCCTGCTGCAGACAGCGAACCGGAGCAAGGCGACCTGCGTGCAGTGGGACCCGCCTGGCCCGTGAGGACCTCCACTCTGGGGACCCTTGGCCCTGGTAGCCACTGGGAAGCCCTGCCCTGGGGACCCCCACCGCTGCCCCACACACCCAGGCCCTTGGGGAACGCTACTCCCAACTGCACACACCGAGGGGACAGGGTCTGACTGCCCTGTGGCCGCAGGGCGGACCAGCACGGCATGTGGACGGCCCGGGACTGTGAGCTGGTGCACAGGAACGGGTCCCACGCTCGGTGTCGCTGCAGCCGGACGGGCACCTTTGGGATCCTCATGGATGCCTCCCCCCGCGAGGTGGGGCTGTGCTCAGAGCCCTGGGGCAGTGGGAGAGTTGAAGGGCAGGGGCGCAGGCACTCCAGCAACCATCGCTGCCCCCACAGCGGCTGGAGGGAGACCTGGAGCTGCTGGCTGTGTTCACGCACGTGGCGATGGCGGTTTCTGTGGCCGCACTGCTGCTGACTGCGACGCTTCTGCTGAGCCTGCGCGGCCTCAGGTCCAACATGCGCGGGATCCGTGCCAACGTGGCAGCCGCCCTGGGGGTGGCAGAGCTCCTCTTCCAGCTGGGGATCCATAGGACCCACAACCAGGTGCAGGGCCGGGGCTAGGGGACCTGTGTCCTGGGACCCCACCTGGCCCAGGGAGGCTCACAGAGAGCTCAGGGTCAGAGGTCGGGGATGCTCTGGTGGCCGGTTGGGACCAGACCCAGGGGTGGTGTGGGGCTTCGGCCAGGGTGACGCCCACTGTGCCCGCAGCTGCTGTGCACAGCCATCGCCATCCTGCTGCACTACTTTCTCCTGGGCACCTTCGCCTGGCTCCTCGTGCAGGGGCTGCACCTTTACCGCATGCAGGTTGAGCCGCGCAACGTGGACCGCGGTGCCATGCGCTTCTATCATGCTCTGGGCTGGGGTGTCCCTGCCGTGCTGCTGGGTGAGGGCCCGATTCTGGCCACCCCTATCCCTGACCCCGACCTCCATCCGAGGCCTGCCCCCCACCCCCACCCGAGCGAGCCGGTGGCTCTTGGGCACACCTGGCTCTCCTGGCACTTGTCCCCCACAGGCCTTGCTGTCGGCCTGGACCCAGAGGGCTATGGGAACCCCGACTTCTGCTGGATCTCAATCCATGAACCCCTCATCTGGAGCTTTGCAGGCCCTGTCGTTCTGGTGGTCATGGTGAGTGGCACGTGTGCCCTGGTGGGAGTGGGGCCCTGCAGCTGGCATGGTGGCATCGGCCGAGGTGCCATCTGGCCGTCTGCAAGCTTCCATTTACGCTCCCACTCAGCTGGCGGGACTGGAGGTGTGCGGTCCCCCCACCAGGGCCTGCCCCGCCTCAGCCCCCGCGCACCCTCTGCTGCCCTATCTCTGACTCTGGCGGGATCAGGGGCCTGTTCCCCTTGGTTTCCGGCCCTGTGTTGTGTGCGCTGCCACCGGTCCTGCCTCTTCCGTGGGTCATCGTCTCCCCTTGTCTCTCTCGCTCCCTGCCTCCCTTCCGACCCTGCTCCCCCTGTCTGGCCGCGGGTCCAGATGAACGGGACCATGTTTCTCCTTGCTGCCCACGCGTCCTGCTCCGCGGGGCAGAGGGAGGCCAAGAAGACCTCTGTGCTGTGAGTTGGTGGGCTTGGGGTGTGGGGGTTCTCCACACGGCAGCCCCTGGGGGTGGGGCTGGGGTCCCCAGCACCTCTGCTGCAGGCGGGGCCCCTGAGGCTGGGCGGGGCATCAGTCACGCTGCCCCAGCCGTGGTGCCTCTCTGGGCCCCCGCGCGTGCTCCCGCCCTGTGGTCTCCCTGTCTCCCGTGGCCTGGGTGGCTCAGTGGCCCTGCTCCACGTGCTCCCGCCTCTCTCCCGTGTTTTCTCTCATGTTTGCCCCTCCTGTGTGTTGTCCTGCTGCCTTTGTGGCTCCCTACTCTCCCTGTTCATTCTGGGACCTTCCATCTCCCCTCTGTCCCCCCGGCCCTGCACGAGCTCCTGTCCCCCCAAGTCCCCGTGTGTCCCTCCGTGTCGCCTGTGTGCGCCGGCATGACACTGCTGTGTCCCCCCGTGTCCTCCGTGTCCCGCTGCAGGGCCCTGCGCAGCTCCTTTCTGCTGCTCCTGCTGGTCAGTGCCTCCTGGCTCTTCGGCCTCCTGGCGGTCAACCACAGTGTCCTGGCCTTCCACTACCTCCACGCTGCACTCTGTGGGCTCCAGGTGACTGGGGACCCTCTCTCTGCCCGGCCTGGGGCCTCAGCAGGGGAGCCAAGCCCTTCTCAGGGCACTGCCCCCGGGCCAGGCCAGCCTGGACTGCCCTCCACCACCCTGAGGCTCCTGACCGCTCGCTAGTCTGCCCTGCCCTGACTCCTCCCCTGGGATTGCTTGGACTCCTCACTGACTCACACAGGCCAGCAGCACCTCATACCGGGCCTCGCTGGCCTCTGGCATCCCTGCTCTGACCCCCAACTTGCTTCTGATCTCTCACTGGCCCCACGCTGACCTTTGTTGACCCACAGGGCCTCATGGTGCTGCTGCTGTTCTGTGTCCTGAATGCAGATGCCCGGGCCGCCTGGACACCTGCCTGTCTGGGCAGGAAGGCTGTGCCTGAGGAAGCCCAGCCCACACCCGGGACGGTGAGGGGCTCCTAGGACCAGGGAGTCTGGCCGGGGGCCTGGGAGGCCAGAACCCAGGCGCCCGGCTGGCTCACACTCTGTCCCCACCCGTGCAGGGGCCAGGGGCTTATAACAACACAGCCCTCTTCGAGGAGAGCGGCCTCATCCGCATCACGCTGGGTGCCTCCACGGTCTCCTCCGTGAGCAGTGCCCACTCCGGCCGGGCCCAGGACCAGGACAGTCATCAGAGCCGCGGCTGCCTCAGGTGAGGGCAGGGCCCCCAGTGATGGGGACACAGCCCAGGCCAGACTCACTCCCGAGGGCACGGTGTGACCGGTCCTGGCCTGGCTTCCCCATCTGGGCCATCTGGGCCTCTTCCGTCCCCTCTGCCTGCAATGCTTCTGCGCCCAGCCCAGAGCCTTCAGGCCATTCCACCTGCTGCTGCTGTGCGTGCACAGCTGCCCAGCCCCTGGAGCACCCCCACATCCCTCTGATGGGGGCTCCTGTGTTTTCAGGGACAATGTCCTGGTTCGACGTGGCTCAGCTGCTGACCACACAGACCACAGCCTCCAGGCTCATGCTGGTCCCACTGACCTAGACGTGGCCATGTTTCATCGAGATGCTGGCGGAGGTGGGGGCCTGGGCCAGGGAGGGAGGAGGCCTCTCCCCGGTTCCCCTTTCCTGTGCCCCAGGTGGGAGCGACCGCCGACTGCAGTGGGCACACCCCTCCCAGGTCACTGTCCAGCCCCCCTGCCGTAAGGACCCCAAGACCCTCAGCTGCAGGCTCCTTCCTCGCCCCCAAGGCCCCCATGTCCTGAGGCCACGGCCATGCCCCCCTGTTTCCCACTCCAGGCGCAGAGTCCGACTCTGACAGTGACCTGTCCTTGGAGGAGGAGAGAAGTCTGTCCATCCCCTCCTCAGAAAGCGAGGACGGTGGCCGGCCACGGGGGCGTTTCCGGCGTCCGCTCCGCCGGGCCACACAGAGCGAGAGGCTCCTCGCCCACCCCAAAGGTGACGGACCCCGAGGGTGACCGAGAGACTCCCCACACCCGCTGGGCCTGACCCAGGACCCTGCCGTCCCCAGAGGCCTCCGGGAGATGGCTTCTCAGGGAGCTGGGCCCCGTGCCCTTCCAGCCACCAGCCATCTGCTGCCGGCCGAGGACCCGGGGACGGCCCAGGCAGTAGAGGAACGAGGTCGAGGATGTCACAGGGTGACGTGTCATCTCTCCAGCCCCCTGTCTTCCCTGAGGGTTAGGGTCCAGCCTGGTCTTCCTGACCCCTCAGCCCTCAGGCTCCTCTGCTCCCCGTCTGTCCACCGCTTGTCACTCAGTGACCCCTCCGTGGATGGTTTTGTCGCCCTCTGACAGCCACCCTCCTATTCCTAGCTCTGCCCATTGGAACAGCCAGGGATTCAGGAGTCATGCGGGTCGGGGGTCACTGAGTCTGGGTCGCAGGGCTTCTGAGTGACTGGGGCCAACCAAAAAGCTCTGCTACCTGCCCCACTCCACAGGTGTGGACGGCAATGACCTCTTGCCCTACTGGCCGGCCCTGGGGGGATGTGAGGCCACTCCCTGTGCCCTGCAGACCTGGGGCTCTGAGAGGCGCCTGGGGCTGGACACCAGCAAGGATGCAGCCAGCAGCCCGCTGGAAGGAACCCTGACCAGTGGGGACGAGGCCCCCCTGGGCGCCCAGCGCCAGAGGAAAGGTAGGCACCCTGACGCTGGCCTGTGATTCTGGCTCCCCGCTGCCGCTCTGCCCCTTGACCCTGGCTGTGTTGCCCAGATCAGGCAGCCCTCTGGCCCGTGCCCTGTGGGGACTGACCCTGTCCTGACCCGGGGGATTCCTGGCCCCACACTGAGCCCTGTCCTGCTGCCTCTGCCCACCCTTAGGCGGCTTTTGCCCCCACCCTGTATCCCAGGGCTCCCAGGACTGCTGCAGGCTTAGGCCCAGGGAGCTCCTGTCTCCTTCCTGTGCCTTCCGCAGGCATCCTAAAGAACCGGCCGCAGTACCCCCTAGCACCACAGGCCCGAGGTGCCCCCGAGTCATCCTGGTGCCGCGCAGCCACCTTGGGCCACCGTGCTGTGCCAGCTGCCTCCTATGGTCGCATCTGCGCTGGAAGGGGCATGGGCAGCCTTTCGCAGCCAGCCAGCCGCTACTCTTCCCGAGAACAGTTGGACCTGCTCCTCCGGCGGCAGTTGAGCCGCGAGCGGCTGGAGGAGGCCCCCGCCCCTATTCTTTGTCCCCTGAGTCGGCCGGGGTCCCAGGAATGCCTGGACACTGTGCCCAGCCGCCCGGAGCCCAGGGATCGGGGCAGCACCCTACCACGGAGGCAGCCACCCAGGGCCCACCCTGGTGCCACGGCCAGCCGCTTCAGGTCCCGGGATGCGCTGGACCTAGGGGCGCCCTGTGAATGGTTGAGCACGCTGCCCCTGCCCCACAGTGCCCGGGACCTTGACCCACAGCCTCCGCCTCTGCCTCCCCAGCGGCAACTCTCAAGGGACCCCCTTTTGCCATCCCGGCCCCTAGACACTCTCTGCAGGAGATCGAACTCAGGGGAGCAGCTTCACCATGTGCCTAGCCGGCACCCCTCACGAGAAGGCCTCGGGCCACCCCCACAGTTGCTCAGAGTCAGGGAGGAGCCAGCCAGTGGCCCTGGCCATGGCCCCTCCACAGAGCAGCTGGACATTCTCTCCTCCATCCTCGCCTCCTTCAACTCCTCGGCGCTCTCCTCTGTGCAGCCGTCAAGCACGCCCTCGGGCCCTCACACCACTGCCACGCCTTCTGCCACAGCCTCTGCACTTGGGCCTTCCACGCCATGCTCTGCCACGTCCCACAGCATCTCAGAGCTGTCGCCAGACTCCGAGTAAGCAGGGCTCAGCCCCCTGCCCACATGCTCCTGACCTTTGGGCCACTTCCAGGAGCCCTGCCTTGCACTCTCCACAGGATGGAGCATGGATCGGCCACCCCAGGCTCAGCACGACCAGGGGGCCGCAGGTCGGGGGCAGAAATCTGCAGGGAACAGGCACCCGATCGGCTGGGACTTGCCAGCTGTACGACTGGGGCCAGCCCTGACCCTCCCCTGAGCCACTGAGCTAATGAAGAGAGATGGGTGCCTTCCACAGGGCTTGAGCTGTGCAGGGCAGGAACCAAGGCCTCCTGGGATGAGGAGGACCGGCAGTAGTGCCAGGATGTGGGCGCATTATTTGCCAGTCTAACTTTGAGGGTGGCCACTCAGTGATATCAAGTTCCCCTTGCCTGCAAGATATCTGTGGGGTCAGGGGGTGGCAGAGGCCCCTGGGAAGCGGCTGGATAGCAGGAATCAGAGAGGGCGCACGGAGGAACCAGGAGCTGCCAGGCTCTGGAGGCCAAAGTAGGGTTTCAAGCAGGAAGAGCCAGGTCAGGCTGTGGGGGCAAGAGGGCCCTGGGAGTAGGGCAGAAGGCCAGCAGAGCCCAGCACAAGGCAGGTAGGCAGGGTGCAGGGGCCCTGGGAGGGGGTGGGGGGTGCTGCCAGCCCACCTGGTCCTCCTGTGGCCGCGCCTTGGGGGTCTGCCCGGGGACCTGCGGAATAGAGCTGGGCTTCTCGCCCTGCAGTCACACCAGAACTTTCTGGGCCTCCATCTGCTGTCTGTAAGACGTGCCTTTAGTAACAAACTCTCTGCGATGTGGAGATTTTTGAGACAATGTCATATGAAGTGCTTAAGTCACATCTACCTGGCAGGTGCTTGCTTGGTGCTTAGAGAGAAGGCACAGGTGGCCAAGAAGCCTTGCTGATGAGTGTGGGGGTCCAGATGGGAGGAGAGCTCTGCGGACCCAGCACGGGCGCGGGGGCCTGGGGCTGAGGCAGAGGTGATGGGGAGGGAGGTCGAGGAGGCCCAGGCCCACCTGGCCCAGTCCTCTGAGCACCCACCCGTGACTTCCACATTCAAATCCACAGAGTTCCCAGGAGCGAGGGTCACTCCTGAGGGGCAGACTACGGCGGGACGGCGGGACGGCGGGACGGCCGAGGAGAAGCTGAGGGCGGTGCAGGATCCGGGCTGCGCGGAGAGGCTCCGGGAGTGGGCTCCCGTGGCTGCTGGCTGTGAGCGCGTGACCAGGCCTGCGCCCTGGCGCCCGGCTGGGGGGCTGAAGGGAGGGCTTTTATACGTTTTGTATACCTTTGTAACCAGAGAGATACACTTAAGTTATTTTTCAACTTTTCTCCTCCTGGGATTCAGAGGCTGGGCTGGGAGGGGGGGGGGGACAGAGGGAAGGAAGTGGAGTCCCTTGCAAACCGTGTGCTCTTCCCTCTGGTCTTGCCAGGGTGGATGCAAACAGGGGGGCCAAATGCCCCCGCACCCAGGTCGATCTAAATACCATCCGGGCTCAGAGCAAAGTTGATCTTTGACTTTCCTTGGCCGCCCCAGGGGCCAAACCTTTGGCCTGGAGGCTGGTCTTGGAAGCGGGTCCTCCGACGTCCTCCTGAGGGTCTCGCTCGGACCCTCCTCCCCGTGGATGTGTGTGTTTATGTGGAGTCCCTGCCACTTGCTGCCTTACGACCTCGGGTGGATGCTGTGGGGCGCGTGTGGAGCAGCAGACGCCCTGTTCTCCGAGCGAGGCTTCCCTCCCTCCCGCGGGAGGGGCCCGGGCTTCTGTTCAGACCTTCCTGCAGGGGGCGGGTCGGGTCCTTTGCCGCCGAGGCCTCTGTTCTGGGCAGCTCGTCTGTGGTGCCATTTGCTCCCCTATTCTGAGGGGTGGGGGAAGGGAGCAGAGGAGAAACAAGGGACTAGATGACGCAGAATGTAGGTGCCACTGTCCCCCGTGTTTACAGGAAACCCGTGGCTCCCGGCGCCTGGGCTGCCGGAGGAGACGAGTCCCACCCTTTGGGTCCCTTCTGAAGGGGAAGCGGCTGTTAGACCCCTGTTCGCAGAACTCTCACTTTTATTACTTTGATGTCCAAAACTGGGGACTTTTAAATTTTGTTACTTTATTTACAGGTCAAGATTGAAAACATTTCTAAACTTTGTTTACAACTTAAAATTTTGAACTTTTATACCTTGTTTACAGTTGAGAATGTTTGGTTTTTTTCCTTTGTTTACAAGTGAAAGGTGGAAAAAGTGGGAGAGGGGCTTGGAGGACCCTGGACCCGCCATCCTGAGGGTTTTCTGACTGCGTATCTCCCGGGCCAGAGTGAGCCCCGAGCCCCGTCGGAGCGGGCCCAGCAGGCCCGCAGAGGGGGCCCCCTCTTACCACGGGACCGGCGGCTGCATAGGGCTGCGGGGGTCTCCGGTCACCCCAGTGCCCCCACGCACACTCCAGAGAGGCTGTTTCCAAGGACATTAAAAGCTCTACTTCGCTGACTGGTGCCAAACCCCACCGGCCAGGACGCCCGCTCCCCTTACCAGAACGGCCCCAGCCCTTGAAGGCTGAGGGGCCCCCCGTGGGGAGGGGGTGTCCTCGCTGCGCCCTAGTTCTGTAGGTGCCCTTGTCAGGGGGTCCCTCGCCAGCCCACGGCCCCTTCCCTGTCTGTAAATTGTTCCGTGAAGCCGCGCTCTGTTTTGGGAATAAACTATAGAAAATGGTTATCGCCTCTTTCTGTCTCCGGGTGGGGCAGGGCAGGCTGGCTTTTGAGAGAAATCTGAGCGCTGCCTCCCCCCCGCCCCCGCCAAAGAATATTCTATTTTTAGCCGGTTTCACGGGACATTAGCCCAGGTTCCCATCTCTGCCGTCCTGACTTCTGGGGGCCTGGGCGTGAGCACGGGTGCCGGGAGCGCGGCGGCGGCGTGGCGCGTCCCCGCGTCCCCGGGCGCTGCCGTCGGGCACGGCCTCGCTCGCCTCGGGCGGGGTGCGGCGCCTGCCCCGGGGCGCCCGGTCCGGGGAGAGCCTGCGGCGGGGGGGCGGCAGCCGGGAAGGGGTTAATCGCGCGGGCTCGCCCCGCCCCGGGGATGGGCCGGGCCGGGAGTCGAAGCCGCGGTGGGTGCGGGCGCCCCTCCACTAGCCCCGCGGGGCTCCTCCCCCACCGGGCACCCAGGCCGAGGCCGCTCCCCGTGACTCCTGCCCCGGGGGGGCTCGTGGCCGGTGAAACCCTGCCCGGCCGGAAAGCACCCCGGCCCCCGGCCCAGAGCCCCTCCCCGCGGGAGCTCCCCGCACCTGGACCCGCCGCTCCCCGGGGAGACCTCCCCCCGCGCGGGGAGCTGCTTTCCTCCGGGTGGAAGCGCCCCCGCGGCTGGAGCCGTGCGCCGGCTTTCCCAGCGCGGGCCTGGGCCCGTCCGCCGCCTGGCGCCCCGGGCAGGCCCGACCCGGCCCCGGCCCTCCCGCGCAGGGGCGGCTCTCCCCGAGCGAGGGCCGCGGCCTGGGAAACTGGGCGCTTCCTGCGCGCGCTCGCCGGCTGCCCGCACGAGGCCCGGGGCCCAGACTGAACGGGGATTGGCTGGGGGCGGACACGGGCGGGGCGCGGGCCCAGCGCCGGGAGTGTGGCCGCGCCCGTCCTGCTGTCGGCCAGGGAGACCTTGGCCAAGCGGCTTTTGCCAGCCAAAGTTCAGGGGCTGCCCTGCCTGCGCGTGAGCGTGGGCGCGGGGCCCCGAGGGGCCAGCCGGACCGCCTAGAAAGGTCAGGTGGGGGTGTGAGCGGGGTGGGCCGGGGTGCGCTCCTCGCCTCCGGGCTCACCGCGCCAGGCGAGGGGCTCCCGGGCGCTGCCGAGTCCACAGTGCGGGCGATGGAGCCGAGGAGGCGGGACTACTGCGTGGAGCGGCCGGTGCTGAGCCAGGGGCAGCTGGAGGCGCTGGGACGCCGCGGCTTGGCGCCTGGTACCCGCCGCTGGCGCCCGCGGCTGCAGTAAGGCTGAGGGCAGGGCCTGGGCACTGGCAGGGCCCAGGTGGCCCCTGTCCCCGACACCCGCCCTGTGTGCCCAGGTGCTCCCGCGCTCGGGCCCGAGCCCTTCTGCTCCAGCACCTCCCAGTTCTGGCCTGGCTGCCACAGTATCCCGTGCGTACCCGGCTCCTGGGTGACCTGTTGTCTGGCCTGAGCGTGGCCATTATGCAGCTGCCACAGGGTGAGTCACCCTCAGCCCCCCTCCCAGCGCAGACCTGAAGCCGTGACCCCTGCCCAAGGAACTGTGGCCCCCGGTCAAGGGTGGGGATTCCCTCGCCCTTCAAAGGCCCTGCCTCCAAGCCTACCTCGCCACCACTCCACCTCCAGGACTGGCCTACGCCCTCCTGGCCGGACTGCCCCCCGTGTTCGGCCTCTACAGCTCCTTCTACCCTGTCTTTATCTACTTCCTGTTTGGCACTTCTCGGCACATCTCTGTGGGTGAGTGGGGCAGGCCTGGCCTTGCAGGAGGCTGCCCACATCCCCCATGGGAGCCGGTGAGGGAGGTGAGCAGGGCAAGAGGTCCTCAAGGAGAGGGTGGTGCTGGTTCATCCCCGGGCAGGACCAGGCCTCTGGCCCTGGGCACAGATTCAAGGTACCTCGAGGCCCGGGCGCCAGGAGGATGTGGGTAGGTGAGACATCTTGGGGGGCTCAGAACATGGCACGGGCCTGACCAGCCACCCCACCTTACACAGGAGGGCGCTCGTGGGCCTGTGGACACGGGTGGGCCAGGGTCGGTGATGCTCGAGGGCATCACCAACCCTGCATCTGTTCATAGGCTGTGGTCTGGCCCTGGGTGTCCACAGGCCTCTCTTAAGGACAGGGTTCCAGGGTGGGCAGCGCCTCGCCCCTCAGACCTGCCCCCGCTGGCCCTGCAGGCACCTTTGCTGTCATGTCAGTGATGGTGGGCAGTGTGACAGAGTCCCTGGCCCCAGATGAGGCTTTCCTCCAGGCCGAGAACGCCACAATCAACAAGACAGCCAGGGATGCCACCCGGGTGCAGGTGGCCTCCACGCTCAGTGTCCTGGTCGGCCTCTTCCAGGTGCCGAGCAGTCGGGGCGCCCACCCCACTGTGTGCCTGCCCCCATCCCCCTCTCCCTCCCGCCCTGGGCTCTGCTCCAGCACCCCCCAGGACCCCGCCACCCTGACTGCCCTCCACCCCACAGGTGGGGCTGGGCCTGGTCCACTTCGGCTTCGTGGTGACCTACCTGTCGGAGCCCCTGGTCCGTGGCTACACCACAGCCGCCTCTGTGCATGTCCTCGTCTCCCAGCTCAAGTATGTGTTTGGCATCCACCCGAGCAGCCGCTCCGGACCCCTGTCCCTCATCTATGTGAGTGAGGGAGGGAGGCGGCGGGGGCGCCCGGCCTGTGGGCAGGCTGTGACCAGCCTTCCCGCAGACAGTGCTGGAGGTCTGCCAGAAGCTGCCCCAGAGCGTGGTCGGCAGCGTGGTCACCGCGGCCGTGGCAGGCGTGGGGCTGGCCGCGGTGAAGCTGCTCAACGACAAGCTGCAGCACCGCCTGCCTGTGCCACTGCCCGGGGAGCTGCTCATGGTTAGAGTCCTGGCACTGGGCAGGCGAGGCGCATGCCGCCAGGCGGGCGAGCGGGACCCAGAGGCCAGCTCTGTGGGCGGTGGGGGGTTCCTGGGGCTGGGGCCGCGGCAGAAGGCCCGCACCGGCATCTCCCTGCCCCGAATGACTGCAGCGGCATGCCCAAAGCAGAGGGTCTGTCTCAGCCTGTTGCCGGCTTCCCCCGATCCCTCGGGTAGTTTGCTTCAGGCCTCCCCAGCCACCCCCAAAGTGGTTTCTCAGTCCCCCTTGCTGACGATATCAGCACCTTCCCCCGACTCTGTCCTCTCCCCAGCTCATTGGGGCCACCGGCATCTCCTACGGCGTGGGCCTGAAGCACAGATTTGGGGTGGCTGTTGTGGGCGATATCCCTGCAGGGTGAGCCTGGTCCCTGTCAGGTGAGGGAGGGCTGGGTGGCCACTGCCTGCCTTTGGCCTCACAAATGCCCCTTGCAGGCTGATACCCCCAGCGGCCCCCAGCCCCCAGCACTTTGCAAAGCTTGTGGGAAGTGCCTTCTCCATTGCTGTCGTGGGGTTCGCCATCGCCATCTCACTGGGGAAGATCTTCGCCCTAAGGCATGGCTACCGGGTGGACAGCAACCAGGTCTGGGGGACAGGACATGGGACACACAGGGCAGCCAGGTGCAGGAGACCACCAGCCCCAGGGGATGGAGTGTCAGTGGGACGCAGGGAAACAGCAGAGAGGTGTGCCGGGGCCAGTGGGAGCGGGGCACGCAGGACAAGCAGCCGAGCCCCTAGGGGCCGTCGAGGCAGGTGGAGGTGGGTGCCCGGGTGCCGCACTGCAGACCTCTCACCCCTGAACCTCCCTAGGAGCTGGTGGCCCTCGGCCTCAGTAACCTCATCGGGGGCATCTTCCAGTGCTTCCCCGTGAGCTGCTCCATGTCGAGAAGCCTGGTCCAGGAGAGCGCCGGGGGCAGCACCCAGGTGGGCCTCAGGAGCGAGCGTGGGGGTGTGCTGTGACACACACTGCCCTGCCTGGGCTCCCCCTGCTCACCCGCCCCGCCCTCAGGTGGCCGGAGCCATCTCCTCCCTCTTCATCCTCGTCGTCATTGTCAAACTTGGGGAACTCTTCCAAGACCTGCCCAAGGTGGGTCCCCACGCCCACTGCACCCCACCAGGCTTGAGGGTGTGCTTGGGACTCAGAGCAGTCAGTCAGGTCCCAGGTGAGGCTCAGGGATACAAGGTCCTGCCCCGTTTCTCAAGGCTGAGATCTTTTGGAGTCAAGGGTCAGGGTTGTCGGAGTCAGATCCAAGCTGGCTGGTCCGGGGTGGGTGTGGTTTCAGTCGTGTGGGGTTATGCCCGGGTCCCTGGGGGTGGTCCTGCTCGTGCCAGACCGTCAGGGCAGCCCTGGTGACGGCCCCCACCCCGCAGGCAGTCCTGGCAGCCACCATCCTCGTGAACCTGAAGGGCATGCTGACGCAGATCACGGACATACGTGCCCTCTGGGGGGCAAACCGGCCCGACCTGGTAGGCTTGGGGCCGGGGGTGGAGGGAGCTGCATCCCAGCCCCCGTGACCCTCTGGACCCTCTGGCTGCTGGCCTTCTGCTTTCAGCTCATCTGGCTAGTGACTTTTGTGGCCACCATCCTGGTGAACCTGGACCTCGGCCTGGTGGTCGCGGTGGTCTTCTCCCTGCTGCTCGTGGTGGCCCGCACGCAGCTGTGAGGCCCCCCTTTCGGTCCCCCATTCCAGCTGCTGAGGTCCCACTGGCTGCCCAGCCTTCTCCCATCTTGGGCCCCTTAGTACCCCTCACTGCCCTATTTCCAGGCCCCCTCTCCTTACTGCCTCCCCCACAGGCCCCGCTACTCTGTCCTGGGGCAGGTGCCAGGCACGGACATTTACAGAGATATGGCAGAGTATTCAGAGGTAAGCGCTGGGCCAGGCAGGAGGGAGGCCTGGGCGGGGCGGGCCTCTGTCAGGCCCACCCACAATGGCAAGGCCACCGGGCTGAGGGCGCTTCGATCCTTGGGGTTTCAAGGGTGAAATTCGGGTCTGTGACCGCACTCAGAGTAAGAAGCGTTAGGAAGGGACAGAGATGGGCCTGGGGCAGGGTCTGGAGGAGCACCAGCCTCAGCCTGCAGAGCAGCCCTGGGGCAGGAATGCCCAAGGGGTGGGAATCTGGAGGCCCCGGATGGGGGACAGGCTGTTGGTGGTCTGCTCAGGGGGGTCGCTGACGCTCCATCGTCCACCCCCAGGGAAGCCTCATGTCAAGGGCCGGGGGTCTGAAATGAAGTGAGCCCACCCCCCTGACATGGAGCCCTAAAGTCTGAGCACAGTGTGATGGGGCTTAGATGGGCAGATGGGGAGGGCCTGTCATCACCCCCAATGTGAGCAGGAAGCTGGCCTCCCTGACCAGGCTGGGAGCTGGGATGCAGCCAAGGAGGGTCTCTGTGTCCAGGAGCGGAAAGAGGCCACAGGGCCGGGCTGCAGACCCAGAGGAGGCCTGAGGGCCCCTGAAGCCTGGCCTCGGCGGGGCAGGTGCAGGACGGGGCGTCAGGAAGGCAGGCCAGCCCCAGGCCCGCTCGGCTGGGGTGCAGGGGCTGCTACAGGCGCAGGGTGGGGGTCGGAGGCCGAGAGCGAGAGGCAGCCAGGAGAGGGCGGGCTCAGCCCCTGGACCTGGCCCCCCAGGCCACGGAGGTCCCAGGCGTGAAGGTCTTCCGCTCCTCGGCCACCGTGTATTTCGCCAACGCTGAGCTCTACAGTGACGCGCTGAAGCAGAGGGTGAGGCTGGGAGCCCCGGTGAGGGGGTGCGTGTCCGAGGGCCCCCCGCCCCACAGAGACCATGCCCTCCCACCTGCCCTTTGCCTGCAGTGTGGCGTGGATGTCGACCGCCTCATCTCCCGGAAGAAGCTGCTGCTCCAGAGGACCCTGGAGTCTGGGCGGCACAAGGGGACCGTCCGGAAACAGGCAGGCCCCGGGCCTCCCCGCCTCCTGGCCTCCCGCCTGCCCCTCCCTCCTCCCCCCATGCCCCAGGGACCCGCTCAAGGCCCCTGGCAGGCCCGACTCCCGCCCGCCTGTGGGCCAGTGAGGGGACTCTCCCATTTATGGCTGCACCTGGAGCTCTCAAGACCCCACCTCCATCCAGCCTGGCCGCCCTGGGGCCCCAGCCTCAGTTCCTGGCCCACCTACCTGCCCACAGCCAGGAGGGGACGCCAGGCCTGTCTGCCGTGCCGCCACGTGACAGCTGGGAGAGCTTTTTACTGTCCCTCTTCCTGGCCCAGGCTGCCGCCTGCAAGGACACGTCTGTCACCGTCAATGTCCACACCAGCATCAGAGACACTGAGAGCGGCTGTGAGGAGGCCTGCAAGGCCGAGGCGAGGCTGGTGGTGGGAGAGGGCGGCCGGAGCTGCGGGGAGGGGCGCCAACTACGGCCCTCAGGAAAGCCACGGACTGGCAGCTGTGGGTTCAAGGCTGTGCCGGTGGCAGGGATGTGGGTGGCAGATCAGAGGCTCTGGGGGCCCTAGGGATGCGCCACGGCATTCTACCTATTGGCTCGCTCTCCTGCTTGTCCGAGGCCTGGACGTAAGACCTAGAATTTGTAGAACCTACTGGACCCCAGTCTGTGCTCCCAGGTGGAGGGACGTCTTGGGTGTGTGGGAAAGAGCGGAGTCGGTGGGGTGCCAAGCCCAGCTCGAGGCCCAGGCGGGCCCAGGCATCTGTGTGTGTGCACACATGTGACCTCTGTTCTGTCCTGGGGCCTCCCACTCACCTGGCCTCCCAGTAGCTCCCCTCCTAAGTGTCCTTGCAAAGCAGGGTCCAGGAAGTCTCAGCAGTACCCGCACATCTGTGTGTGTGTGCCCTGTGCATCTGAGCATCCCTTCCTGCGTGTCCCCTGCAGGCCCTTTGTGTGGGTGTTTCCATACACAACCCCACATCCGACCCTGTGTGTCCCTCAATGTCTGTGAGTGTGCCCTGCGTCGCCCCTCACCTGCACCTGGTGCCCCAGCAGGTGAGCGCAGGGAATGAGCCGGAGGAGATGGCAGCCAGTGGGCAAGGCACCGCCCAGGCCCCGGGCACACCCACCCTCAAGGCCCTGGGCCTGCCTCAGCCGGACTTCCACAGCCTTGTCCTTGACCTGAGCACCCTCTCATTCGTGGACACCGTGTGTCTCAAGAGCCTGAAGAACGTAAGGGCAGGAGCAGCCCGAAGAAGGGCCCTGGGAAGGACGGGCTCCTTGGGCAGCACCCCGATGCCATAGCTGGCTCCAGCAGCCCTCCTGGCCTCTGACCCCTGAACCCTCTGAGCTCCCCCCAAAGTGCCCTCCCCCCAGCCACACCTGCCTGAACACCCTTCAGGGCCCCTGAGCTTCTCTCTGGGTCTGAACCCCTTTTCTGCCTTAGATTTTCCGAGACTTCCGGGAGATCGAGGTGGAGGTCTACATGGCTGCCTGCCACAGTGCGTGGGGTGGGGAGTGGGCATGGTTGGGGCAGTGGTGGGTCTCCCTGCCAAGGAGTCTGCCTGGAAAATGAGGAAAAAGCTTTCTCTGAAACCGGAGATCAGAGGTGTCCTGGGAGCCGGGGCCCAACGGTCAAAAGTGACTGGGGGTTTAGCCTAGCCAAGGTCGGGGTGAGGGTGAGATGAGGTGATGCGGGCCAGGCATGCTGCTGGTGATGGGATGGGTTCCTGGTGGTCCTAAGCATCAGGGGAGACCTTGCCCGCAGCCCCCGTGGTTGCCCAGCTCGAGGCTGGGCGCTTCTTCGATGCATCCATCGGTAAGCAGCACCTGTTTGCCTCTGTCCACGACGCGGTCATCTTTGCTGTCCAGCATCCCAGGTCTGGCCCCACCAGCCCTGTCATGGTGAGCTGTCCTCTGGGCTGAGCTCCTTCTGCCCCCACCCTGTCCCCAACTCCATGAGGTCCTCCATCCTGGATGTCTGCCCCCCTTGAACCCCCTGCCTTTACATGAAGCTGTGCTTGGGGACGGGGGCTGCGGACCTGGGGGAGGGGGTGGCATGTGTCCTTTGGAAACCGTCAGGAGCCCTCCCTCCTGTGCCCACCCAGGTCACCAAACTCTGACCATAGTGCCACCCTGCCCACCTGTGGAGGCTGTGGCTGGGCGCCCGTGAGAAGCACCCCCTGGCCTGCCCACAGGTGTACCCCAGGAGTCTGCCTCGCACATACACGGCACGAGGGACGGAGGACCTGGACTCTGAGCTCAGTGCCCTGGGTCCAGGATGGGGCGCCGGCTGGTGGGGGAGGCGGCACTCCAGCTTCAGGAATAAAGACTTTATCACTTAACACCAGGCTCTGCTCTGCTGTGGGGGAGCCTTGGTTGGGGCTCTGGGGGTGGTCCAGCCCTGGCCCCTGGACCGTTACGTCCCAAAGTAAGGACTGGAGTCTGAAGCCGGGGGGCAGGTGGGGCAAGGGGAGGGCGCAGCAGGAGGGAGAGCTGGGGCCCCAGGGTGCACCCCGGTCCAAGCTCCCCCAGCCACACACAGCCCTTGGTGCCCATGTGCTGAGGTGCTTGGGAGGGTGCACCCTGGAGGATGTAGGCGACCAGCTGGGGCCGTACAAGGGTCCATGGGTGCTCCCGGCTGCATTTGGCTGTAAGAATGTGCTGCACTTATCTCCCCAGGAAATACCTGGCACTTGGCTAGGTCACCTGGGCTTTGCAGGTCGCTGGTAGCCAAGATGCATTTGCTGACTTGGCTGTAAAATGCCGACAATGGCCGTGTGGCCCCCGAGGGGCCGGCCAAGCCTCAGTGATTAAGGTCGGGACCAGCATCGGGGTCTCCCTGTCAGTGGCAGGAATGGCAGTAGTGCCCCTCCCATGGGTTGCCCAGTGGGCATTAAATGAGTAAGAGCCACCAGATGCCTGCAGTGGTGCGTGTCACCTGCTCAGAGCACACAGGCCCGTCCCCGAGCAGGCGCTGGGTGCTATGCTGAGGGAGTGGACGGAAGCTACCCCGCTGTGGCCGTGGCTCGCGTCAGTGCCCTGCCCTGTGTTCACAGGTCACCTGCCCTCCCCCCCGGACTGAGCCCAGAAAGCTGGGCTCCTGGGACGCAGCGTGTCACCCCTGCACTCAGTGGCAGCTGCTGGCGGCGGCCCCAAGGGCAGGGGGCTAGGGAGCTGACCACCCAGCCCTGCGAGCATCGCCAGGAGTGCTGAGGCCCCAGGGATTGCAGGGGGCCTGTGGGGGGGGGGGCAGGGCCTCCCAGGCCTGGTGGGCCTTTGGGTTAGGAGTAGGGCCCCCACATTTTGAGCTGTGGGGTAGGCTGGGCGTAGAGGACCAGCTAGCTGCTCTGCTGGAGAGCACATTAGGGGCCATGGGCGCAGGTGCTGGGTGGGGAGAATGGGGGGATGCAGCCCAGAGCCCCTCGGGGAAGGCTGTGGCTCACTGGAGCCCGCTTCCTGGAGCCGGGCCACCCCGGGGGAGGGGTGTTTGCCCGTTGCCAGGCGCCCGGGTTCCAGGCTGACAGCGGCCATGCCCCTCACATTGTCCTTCCTGCTCTGCCTGCTGCTGGCCATGCCCGCCCCCTCCCGCCCCTGGGCTCGGCCCCTGTGGTACCAGGTGGGGCTGGACTTACAGCCCTGGGGGTGCCAGCCAGAGATCCCGGAGGGCTGCAGGGGCAGCCTGGGCTGCCTCAGCCACTGGGTGAGCCTGGGGGTGAACTACGTCTACCCTGTGGCTCTGGCCACCCTCGCGGCTGCCCTGGTGCTGGCGATCGGGCAGCTCCTGCAGAGGCGCTTGCGGGCTGTGGCCAAGGCCGAGGTGAGTGGGCTCCCGTCCCCACCCCCCTGCCCCCCTGCCCCATGCCGCCCCTCACTACACCTCTCACTCCCGCTCTTGGTCCGATCTTCAGAGTCCTTCAGTGACCGTGGATCCCGCTGGACCTTGGAAACGGCGAACCCCGATCTGTTCAGACCGCACCGTACTCCACAGGGCCCTTCATATGCTAGATGCCCTCCTGCTCCAAATTGAGGGCCACCTGCGGCATCAAGCCAGCCAGCAAAGGCCCCAAATAAAGGGGACCCCTCCCCAGAGCGGGTGACCCAACCAACGCCTCTCTCTGCCTGGTGGCCAGTCGGGGTAGGGATGGCCTGAGGCTCTGGGCCTTCTCTGCTTATAGAGCCAGCAGGCCTGGTGAGGCCTCGGCGCCCAGGCCACAGGCTGGCTCAGGCTGCTCCGCGGCCCCCACCAACTGATCCCTCCTCCCCAAGTTCCCACCCACAAATACAGCTGCTGCCCTGGGGCTCCTCAGGGCCCCCAGTGTAGTGGGAGGAGATGGACCCTCAGGGCAGACGTGGGTGGTCCAGGTTGGGCCCCCCAAGGAGGAAAAGGGCCTTCACCCCTTCCCCACCTCCCTTCTGTCATAGCTGGTCCAGCTTGAGTGGGTGCTGAGACGTGCATTTCTATAATCTCTGTTTTAGGAAAAGTGTAACATTATGAGTTCAAAAATAGAAAAGTGAATTCGAATAATGAGAGAAGGAATCACGAGAGATCACAAATGACACTGTCAGGAAGCGGGTCGCTGTGCCGCAGAATCCGGAACGACACCTTTCTGGTGCTTCCTGAGGCATT